GACCGGTTGCGAGGGTGAGTGACGTCATCTTCCTAGTAAAAGTTGTCCACAAACCCAGCTGTGAATTGGCCAGCATACCCGGACGTGGTAGAATCGTGAACTTAGTCATTGCCAAATTACATCATGACTTCAAAATGTTGCCCATAAAGTCACATTAAATTTGGGTGACAGATCACGGTTTTTGTGCGCCTTGTTGCGTGGTTTAGTTTTTAAAGGAGCACTATTTGTTTTTAATACTTAAAAATGACTTTGTTAATTAGCTTGGTAGTGATTATGAATTTGAGATTCGGTCAATGGCGTAACTATAGGGTTAAACTTCTGCGGGGGCACCTTGGGGTGCATACAATTTTTAAGTGCATGGGGGGTGGGGGGCACTATGATATCAAGTTATATTTTTGATCAATTCAAGATTTTCAATGGGGGCACCCGGCTGGAAAGGAGGGGGGGGGGGACCGGCGTATTATGAGGGGGCATCAAGGACGGACCCAACAACAAAATTCCAGGCCACCGCAAGCGCTGCAAATTCGAAAAGCGGGGGGGGGGGGGCTATTTTGACGCTAGAGGGCGATGTTTTTTCTTATCAATTTATTCACAATTCAGAAAGTCGTACGGTTAAGGGAAGTCCAACAATAATCATCTCAACAAACAACTTTTTTTTAAAAGACACTTCCATGCATGGTAAGCGGCAAATTTCGTAGTTACGCGACGTGGATTTGTCGTTAACACAGCGCATTCACTACATCGTGGCCGTGCGGCATCTGTTTGTCTCTTCTGTTGATACACTATCCTAGACGGTAGCAATAATTGCTTCGGTTTAGCTCGGCTAAGTTCGTTATAGATGGGCGCGGACATCCGGGATTTTTTTATTTTTTTATTTTTTTAACATTATTTGGCTTTACGTAGCTCCCATACCTATGTTCTTGGAACTCAATTGTTCTTGAATCTAGGTTGCTGAATGGTAACACATAGCAACCAATGAAAACTGGTGTGCAAACGAACAGATGTTTACATCGGATGACGTCAGCCCGCCCCCACCTATACCAAGAAAGTCTCTAAAACACATCCAAAATAGAAACTGTGAGTCCAACTTAGGCCCATATGTGGGAGAGGCACATTGTATTCCCCTTCAGTAAAACCTTATGGTAAAACACTTGAACAAGTTCGATATTTTTCTCCGAACTAATTTTCAATTTGTATATTTTATTTTGACGAAATGGCGTAATTGAAAACAATGGCAGAACCAGGATCGTCCACGGGTGGCTGGGGTTGTTGAAGTCCAGGATTTTTAGAGGGATGGGGTTTGGGAGGGGGTGGATGGGGGGGGGGGGGGGGGTTGGACTAGACTTTGAAGTCAACTCATAGAGGCCAAATGCCTAAAGCATTGAATGAGCTAGATCTGCAATAATATGACGTTATTCAGGCAACTGAAGGAAACGTTTTTTCCCCCGCAAACCTTCCCCTTCAAGTTGGATCTGCCTTTGAAAAATAAACTTTTATTTTGGTTCACTTTCGAACAAAAAGAGATCCATCTGGATTATTGTCGGGCTGCAACTAAATCGAAATTTGCACAATAATTATTCGATAACTAAACGTTAGCGATATATTTATTTTGCTCCATGTGTCATTAATTTAAAAGTAAATAACTTTTTTGTATTATTATTTTCAATATATATAAAAATATTAGCAATGAAAGATAATTATTTATCGGGACCAAACACGAAAAGAGTCACGGGGATCGAGAAAGCAACTTTAAAAATCCACCACGCACTGACTTGTGTCTTGTCTCTGGCTTGAACTAATTGGACCTATGGCATGCAATGTAGCTTGAACAGAGACCGTCCGGTCATAGCACTTCCAGTACCGGTTGAGTACCAGGAATACATGATGACAACTACGCAGGGTGTTTGTAACTTACTGTTACCACCGCACATTACTAGACATACTCACTTACATGTACATGATCAGGTCATATCCTGCACGGGCGGGACCACGCCCCCTACCAAGGCCTCAGATTTGGTATTTGCTATAGGTGGTCATACACTTAAAGGGATCTTGAGATGAATCTTTCTTAGGAACACATTTTGTGCAACTTTCCGTCCTCCTTTCAATGTATGAAAACTATTTGGCATTATCCCTTTTGGTTGTTTGAAAAGTGCACTTCTTTAAACATTTAACAAAGTGTCCATGCTTTTCCGGAAAACTGAGAGCGCTGTTGCTGTGATGTCGTTTCAGGAAGAAACTGTTCAGTTTAGGGGTTTGCTGTTCAAACTGTAAACCCAAAGATTTGCGCATTAAAAACATATATGTGAGAAAAGTTTTTATTGGCATTGGCGTCGCCAGGATTTTTTTTCCGGGGGGGGGGGGCAAAGCAAATTTCATTATATTCTCAATTTATCATTTTTTCTAGCGTGAGTAGGGGAGCATTTGCCCTACCCACCCCCCCCTTCAAAATAATTTTTCCTTTTTTCCCCCTTGTTCCTTTTTTTCGTTTTTTTCGTTGCCCCCCCCCCCCCCCCCCCCCTCGCGACGCCCATGTTCATTGGCTTACTGCCAGGTTCGGACACAAAACGAATCGCCAAAGAAACTGAGAAAATTTAGCAGCAAAGCACCCAAAATATTCTGGCAACTTTTGATATTACTTTTTGTATTTTTGTCATTATTGTATCATGTTTTATGTAATCCAGGGCCCCCAGGGAGAACAGTTCATTGACAACTGATGGGGCTACCCTGGTAAAATAACACAAAATAAAATTAAATAAATAAACAAATGCTGAAATAGCTGAATTATTGAGGTTTCTCCCTGAAATGACATTGCACTTTTGCTCGTGAGTATGGAAATTTACATTAGCATAAAAACCAAAAAGAACCACAATACCCTTGAAAATGGCAAAACGAGAATTGAAAATAAGGTTAAATGAGGACACTATAAGGTGCATTTTCAAGGATTGCATTAGAAACATTACATGGCATGTGCCCTTTAATGATCTTAAGAAATGGTGAAACTTAATGATTTACTTTGTCGTTCCAAACCCATACAAACAGAGCCGCACCCGTATGTGGTTAGAAAATAACAACTATTTGCTTACTTTGTTGCTATGAAGTGAAATTAATATTATGGGAGCGGGACGTCCGTGAAAGGTTTGTCTGTGGCTTACTGTGACATAGCAGAAATAATAACAGAAGAAGCTTTCTTCTTAGTGAAACTGGAAAATTGGAGGGCTGAGTCAAGGCTGGGGCGTGGTTGGAGTGGCTACCCCCCTCCCTCCCGACCAAAAATAATTATTTAAGTCATATATAATGCGAAAAAGAAAATCCCAAATTTTCTTAAAGGCATATATAGGATCATTTTCTTTTCATGCATTTTGTTCGGTTCCATTTATTTCTTGATTGTTTTCTTAATGACAGAATGCCAGACGGACTATTTTCACTGGTTGTTCATGGTACTGATATCTTTAATCCAAGTAAGCTGTTTGATATTAATTCGGTAGGTTACTTTTGCGATAATTGCAAAGGATCCTATACGCCTTTAAAGTCGTCACTCAATGTTGCAAATCATAATAATTATTATTCCACTGTATGCTTCAGGCTTTATGATCTGTTTATACGTTTAATACTGCAACGACTCATCCACCACAGCCCCCCCCCGAAAAATCTTCACTATGACACATCTGCCACCCTCTTTTAGACAATCTTGGATCCGCCATTGCACACCGCACGATTTAGAAATGTGGTATTTGCTAGAAATATTTGTAAAACATTATGGATTAGCTATTTTGCATACACTGTGTTTGAGCTTACATTGGCTATCAAGAAAAGAAAATATGGGTGGCATTCGGTAACTAGAACCCGATCTATAGTTTCCTTATTATTTTTGCTTAAGAAATTAGGCGGATTTGGGTCCATCCAAGCTCTTAAATAATTGCAAACGTTTCTAGGTAACAACATTCGCAACAATGGAAAATAAAGGGGGAGGGGTCCGACACTAAATGCACGAGATACATCATTTCACCACAAATGTTCACACAAATGCCAGAAACTCAAGACTGCGACCACACTGAAATCTTTGTGTTCACAATTCTACTGTCCAGATTCGTAACCGTTCAGGTATCGTAGCGCCCTCAATATGTCTAGAGGCACATGAATGTGCTCATCGCATTTACCAGATTAGAGTCAGATTAGAGCCAAGTATGCGATAAAAGCGTGCTACTGTTTTCCTTTGACGAAAGGTTTTAGTTTCGTTCTTTTATATAGACATTTTATTTTCTTTGTGTACACAGCCAGGAACATTTAGGTCTCTCAAGTCCCGAAATGGAAACATGTTCTCGATATTTCAACAATGAAACTTGACTAGAAACCTGGATGTGAGAAATTCCGGACTTGGAGGTCGCAGTTGGTTGTAAGGCCGCAGCAATGATGTTTACCGCTATGGCTTCTGTTCCTTGCTCTATGCTTATTTATAGATTGTCTTCAGTAGCGAAATTCATAGCCCGTCATCATAAGGAACCTAAATACCTGACGGGACACGGTTAACTTAGGTTTACGCAGTGTGCTTTTCCGCGTCTCACATAGCAGAGGAGTTTCTCTTTTTGTCGTTGGTTATCTAGGATCAATTTCTCCTTGAGGGAAAGATCGGGGGTGTTTTTGAGAACGGACCGCTCCCCCATATGGTGCATGTGCAAGTACAAATCGAACGCAACCACTCACGCGGAACAAACTTGGACTCTGTCCCCAACCTATATTACTCCACCCTACCCTGTAGCCTGCATTATGCGGACCTCAGCTGCTTCACTTAAATAAAATTTAAACCCCACAACATCAATTTTGTTCGGAAATTCTTTTATTTTAATCTCTTTATTTCCTTAAGTTTTTCTGCCCTCAATAATAAGTCAATATATTTCTCAAAAACGACGGATCGGAGGAGAAAACCACAGTGTTCGAAAACAAATATGATTAAATGCCAAACGACTGGATCAAGTTTATTAGAAGCCGCTTCATTCATTCATGGGTGTGTTCTCATCGCTGGTTCCCGCGATATAATTGATAAAAGTAACTAGTGGCAGTGCACCATCGATCGCACTGCATCTCACACATGTACCGCACGATTCATTGAGCTGGAATCTTCTGGAATTCAAGTTTTCGTCTGAAATTTAAGGTAAGGAAAGCTTATGCACTTTGTAGAAATCGTAAAATAGATTGTAGCTCTTATAGTTTATTGTAATATGCGTTTACGAGTGACTGACAAGTCTGTAAATTTGATATATATTGTGAGAAAAAAACCCGTTCAAGCTAATTCACCGGGCCAAAGTAATCATGTAGGCTAGGCCAAGGCGTATGGGTCCGGTTACTGCACCGGGTCATGCAGATCTGAACAACTTCCGGTATATTCGAAATCGAGATAAAGTGGAGTCTGCCTGTGCCTCCGATTTTTTTTCTTCACTAAGTAATGGTGTAGATAGGGAGTAATTGCAGAATACCTCGCCACTTGGAAATACACTCCTAAAATCTCTGGCTACGCGGTCACTGGCGGTTGGAATCACTGGCATGACTGGAGTGGAAAAGCATGAAAAGAAACAATTCAACTTAAGTCCAAACCAAATGTTGCCAGCTACGCGGGTAACTGAGTGGGGGTCCCCTTAAGAACGAAGCAACACAAAATGAATGGGAGTTGCTGAAAAACTTGAAAGTCCAAACCAACTACCCTGTTGCTGGCTACCCAGCTACGAAGTGGGAGTCCCCTGAGCTTGATATGCTTGAGAACGAAGCAACATAAAACGAATGGGAGTTGCTGTAAAAAATTCTAAGTCCAAACCAACTAGGGGTCTAGGCCTACCCTGTTGCCGGCTACGCGGATACGGAGTGGGAGTGCAGTGGAGCTACTCCTAGAACTATGATGTTCCGCAGAGTGGAGTCTGCGGAGCATCATAGTTCTAGGAGTACAGTGGAGCATGACGTGCGTGTGTAGGCCTAGTAGTACATGTATACAGGTAGCGCTGAGAAGGTTTATTGAGTGCAAACAACCGTGACGCTGTAGCCGGCTACGAGGTGCATAGATCGAGTGGCAGGGAATTTTGCAATTGTGTCGGTAAATTTTGGTGTCGTCCTTATAAGTTTGGATACGTTTGGTCTGCACAATTGTCATTTCGGAAAGAATTGCGTACTAGGACTTCAAGTTTTTTCAACTTTACACTGATTTATTTTCAAGCGCTAAAAAGTTGCTTCCTGTATTTTAATGTATCCATTGAAATAAGAGTAATTAATGAGTATTTAATAAACTAAATATTCATGGGAAATTAAATATTCATAATGATGTATTGCACTGTCATTGGCCCACGCGTCGTTGATGTCATGCGCATCGCTAGACTTGACTAGACTCTTCAATCATTGTCGATATTGCTGCCCACAATGTCTGCTGTCCAAAAATGTGTGCATGAAAAATGTGCTCCAAAAAACACATTTTTCATGACATGTATTCGCATAAATTATACATGTACAGAGCTTCCTGGATTTGTCTTGGAATGAAATCACAAGGTAAGGTGAGCATTGATGTGTTCGGCGGCAGATAAGTGGCACTCAACTTTCATTCCGTCATTTAGAGCCTCTTAACTGACGGGTATCATTTTGCAAGTTATGGCAAAATAGTATGCAAAGTCTATGGCGTAAATAAGCCCAATCTATTGTATCAAACTCTCCATTGACAGTTGACTTTCATTGTATAGTGAACATCCACTTAGCTAGTTGCAAACATGAGATAGAGCCGAGTTGTTTAATTAAATATTAAATATAATTAATGACTTTTATTTTTCTTTCTTTGGCATTTGTGTTCTTGGGACATGGAAAATGTTATTTAAAAGAAAAAAATACTTCTTAATAATATGAAAATAGATTTGGGAAGAATACTATACATGGACATCACTAATGTTTCCCTGCAGTGACCTACATGTATCAGCCATCAGAAAGGCTATGTCCTAAAAAGTCAAGTTTAGCAGGGAAAACATTGAACATTTTGAAGCATTTACTGAGAAAACACTTGGAATTTTTCAGACCAGTGTCATAGGGTTTGTGCACAGGGCGTCAAGTGATGTCCAGGTATGGAACTCTTTCCCTTGATTTGTATTTTTACATTCAATTTTGCTCCGTTTGTGCAAGTCACTCTTGTTAAAATAACAACATCAACCTTTCAAGCGATGTGTTCCGAATGCAGTGCGCACGCAAGATTCTCCAACTTTTGAGAGCATGGAGAGTTACCCACGTGAATGTAGCCCTGCCCCTACCGGTAGATTGGTCAATTTATAACACCAGTGACCATGGGATTAATGTGGCAGACAGTGACTGAGGTCCTTGAGTTTGAAATGTCATCACATCAATGCAAATGAACCAAGCACCCATTTTATTTTTTTTTAAAGAGGTTGTGGAATGCTCGAAGACATTTCCGTCATTTTTCGGGTATGTAGCCTAAGGTGTGATGAAATAAAAACGACTATTGTTTCTGTCATAAGATGAGTACAAAAGGTACTTTTGAGAGCTGTTTTTCAAGTCCTGTCATGCCTGTTTCGACCCGAACGTGCAATTTGTGTAAAAGTCGTCGTTGCGGGCAGCAAACAAAACACAGTAAATCGTGACGTAATAAACAGGACTCCCGATGCAGAGTAGCATAAACGAGTCCTGTTTATTACGTCACGATTTAGTAGTATGTTTTGTTTGCTGCCCGCAACGACGACTTTTACACAAATTGCACGTTCGGGTCGAAACAGGACCTGAAAAATAGCTCTCAAAAGTAACCTTTGTACTAATTTCATGACAGAAACAATAGTCGTTTTTATTTCATCACACCTTAGGCTACATATACCCAAAAAATGACGGAAATGTCTTCGAGCATTCCACAACCTCTTTAAATGATCTGGCATTCCCAATGCACAAACAGATTTCCCCACTGTATCCTGTGCCAATGTGCTGTGTCTTCTTCTGAAATGAAATGCGGCTAAATCTCTGCAACAAAATATGAGGAGCACTAGGGTTTTGGAACTACTCCATCCTTACTCTGCTGAATTGAGATCAAAAAGAAAAAAATCTTTTGGATTTCATTGATCTGAATAGTGAATAAGGGATCTTTTACTCTAGTTGTGGGATAAGGCCAAAAAAAAAGTCTCCGGTTTCTGGTATGGAGCTTGCCCAAAAAGTGGTGCGGCGACGCGGCTTTTTTTTTTTATTACCTGATTTTTTTTGCTTCAAATGTCGGCTGATGACTGCAAATGGTGCCCGACTAAACTTAGTGCAAATATATGGGAGTCCAGAGAGGCCACATAAAGCTTATTCTCGACCATAACCCAATCTAAAAACATGTTAAAATTGTGCAGCAGCAGGATTCCAGTCAAACCAGTGAGTTTGGCGGTTTTGAGACATCATCTTTCATTGAAAAAAAAACTTTTTCATTTTGCCGACGCGCATGGCTACGGCGATGCGCGCGCATACCAGAAACCGGAGACTTTTTTTTTGGCCTAATGCTAGATTTGATGACAAGTCGTATTTTGTCTGTGAACTTCAGTCGAACTCCATCGACGCGGCTGGTATACGTAATCGGCCAGGTTGTGACAAATCTAGCGATTTACGTTCTCGCACCGTTATTCAGATGCAAGCAGCGCAGTGCATTTTGCAGTGAGATCCAATCGCGCACTGTTATGCAAGTCAGGACTCTTTCATTCCATTACATGGGGAGTTCTAAACATATTAATTATTATTCCAAACATAAAAGAATTTGACATAAAAGAATTTGTGAAGTGTAAGTCTCATGCTGAAGAAGAAGATTGAAGCTGGAATAAGAACCAGTCAATTCAGCTTGGCAATTCGGTATCGGTACCCGTGCACAGTTACGTTGCTCACCTATTTCACTGGTACACATTGCACTATCCTAGACGTGACCACCAGCGCTTGCATATGCAAATGTAACACGTTCTTGTGCTTCATTTCTGACATTTAGGGAGTATTTGCTAGACTTTACGTTCAACAATAAGCCTTCTGCAAGTAAAGGTTGACCTTTGTTTGCAGCAATTTGTACACCGACTTCACCAAACTTTGACTACAACACTGTTCTTTAATTTAGGCAGTAATTTAAAGGGCCTAATTTTGAAATCGGAATTCACCTGACTGACAACATTTTAGACACTGTTTTTGGGGGCAAGGTCTTGCATAGTTTGTTAGTTATATTTACATTAAAAATCAATTGGGTACTGGTAGGAAATTCATCCAATATATGTTTGATTTTTTTTCCGCCTGCCAATACTATATTTGGAAATGTGAGATTTCTTTTATTTTTTCTTTATGCTTGGTCTCGGTCTCGGAAGTCTTGGTCTCAGTGTTGGTCTCGGTCTTGGCCTTCGGAAGTCGAGTCTCGGTCTCAAAAACTGGTCCCGGTCTTGGTCTCGGTCTCGGTCTCGAATGCCCCGGTCTCGGATATGGAGGTCTCGACTACAACCCCGTTCTTCATACATGTACATGGTCTTGTAGCTAAAATTGTTTTGGAACAAATAAAAAGACAATACATGTAGGGCCTATCTGTGCAAAATATTCTAATGTATGAATTTAAAAAGGGGGGGGGGGTGGCCGGGAAAAAAAGGAAACAGGCGGGGATGAAATGGTAATTTTTTTTTTACTTAACTCAAGTTTCTGGACAAGTCTGAAATCTACTTGTTTGTTTATACATAGTCTGGCTGCCTAAAATTGTAATGTCAACTTGTAGACAACGATACACTTTTTTGGAAAAAGATGAGATTGTTTTATTGTGCTACAAATATGGAGGACTACTTCTGAGTTTATTTTCCGGTACTTTGTGGTTAATGAATGCCTTGTTTTAATTTTAATTTGTTGAACGAGAAAAGGTGCAAGAGGTAAAATTTCTAGAAATGTCATGTAACATGCCTATTAAATTCATGCATTGGCCTGCATGCATGGTACATTCACACCCTTGCGCACAGTGCAGTGGGAGTGGGACCACAATGTCAGGCCATTGCGGCCCCTCACCGCAACTGTCACACGCTGTACAAAGCTATTGTATTACCGGCCTACACTCATTGTTCCTGCCTAGAACAAGGTGTGTCATTGACTGAGCCACACTCACACAAGGCCAATGTCCATATATAGGGCTGCGCATGTTTGGTGGGTGTGGTGCCTGACTAGTGCACTACTGGCTAGACTTGTCAAGTCCCTGTGTAGCTCTGGATTTCATTCTTAAAATCACAAGCAAAATTACCGGTACAGTGCATACTAAGTAATAAGTTGGACTAGAGTAAAAAAAACTGGACTCACTACAGCTTGCAAGTTGTTCTGTTTTTGATTTCCTGATTTTTGTTCGACTCGGTCTGGAACGATCTGAGCAAATTCAGAATGAAATTAGAAATTGATATATTTTATTGAGTCAAGCACTTGATCGTTGGTGGTTATCAACAAAAGTAAACATGAAAGGGTCACTTGTTTGACCTAGAATAAGCTTTAGCTGGGTTTAGTGTGTGCAATTTACATTACGATCACACTCTAATTGGGTTGAAAGTCTTTCGTCATGGTACATGGACATACAATGTACCATGCAGCCTGTTCAAGGTCTATTTCTTTTCAACGTGTATTTGGTTCTCCCATATGCGTTTTATTGATTTGATCCAATTGTTGTAGGGAAATGCAATTTTGTGAATTGGAAACATTAGACTGGCATATCAGTCTGTGAGATGTGTGATAGTACGATTGTACACTTTTACTGACACCCCTCAGTGGGAAAGATTTCCATTATACGAAGTTCACAAATTTTCCTCTGTATTGACTAACAAGCCCCCAGATAGCAATTTCATGTCATCAAAGTCAATTTGAGCAGTGAGAAAATACAAGCATTTTCTTAGAAAACACTTAGAATTTGTCAGTCCAATCTCATAGGGTTTGAACGCAGGGTGTTGAGTGAACTTCGTATATGGAAATCTTTCCCCTCGGTGTTCTTCACAACTTTTGTTCATAAAGTTGCAGCACATATGTGGCAGTTTGGTCTTTAGCACCAAAATCCCATGGAAAGAAAGTTTGCCAAAAGAATTAAGTTAAACCATAACAAGGAGTGTTTCTGTAGCACTTGGGATCTCTTTCTTGAGTAGTGTGTAATTAGAAATTTCAAACACTGCTCATTTTGTCTTTTTTTTTTAAGATGAGCAGAACACAAAGTTGAATTAAAATTAATGCGTCCAGTTATCGATATCTTCTTAGATTTAGAACCACACCAAACTCTCAAGAGTTACATGTACATGGTGCAAACAAAAAGCTCCTCATAATGATACATGTAAATGAGGAGTAAATTGATTCTCCTCTATGCAAACCATTTACAGTCTTATTTAAATGAAAAGTTAGATATCCTCAACAGTCAGTACATCCATGGAGGATTCTTCCATGGTGCATCATACTACATGGAAACATCAGAGATTTGGTCCCTTTAAGAATAACAGACATACCTGGTGTTCTGACGATATCTTGAGTGCATTTACTGGAAGATTGCCTTTCATAAATAAATCAATGTCTCATCAACCAAGATATCATCACTTGTGACATGTGTGATGGCACTACTGTATCAATGTACATGTAATAGGACAGCAGTGTTTATGTGTTGACTCAGTATGGAAGGAATCCTCATAAAAAAAAGGCCAGCAATCGTCCTGCCATAGGCACTGCCAGATGTTACTTAGTGGCCACTGGTAGGGTAGTATGGTGGAGGGATGGCCCTATCGAAGTAAAACACCCAGTCGAGGTAAAACACTGGTAGCCGGGTAGCTGGGATGGGTACCCGTAAAAGAAACCCAACACCCAAAATTCAAATCCCGGAAGTTGTCGGAAGGGCTTTATAGCTTTATTGTGTAAACTGCAACTTTTGCGAATGTCATCTGTATGTATGCATGTATGATGTACATATATATGTACATAATCCTGAAATCTGTATTTTGTTTTCCATGTTCCAATTCATGTTTTCCATGAATTGTTAGAAGTTTAAGAAGTCTTTGTCATACTCTTCTTTTCTTTCTCAATTCACATACAGTTGTCTGCCAGTAACGCCGCCAGCGCAAGAACAACATGGGTATGGTGGACCCAGAGTTCCGTGGAGCCGGCCAGAAGGAGGGGCTCAAGATCTGGCGAATTGAGAAGATGGCCGTGGCCAAGATCCCGGAGAAGGATTATGGGTATTTCTTCATGGGGGACTCCTACATCGTCCTGCATGTTAGTATTGCAATTTTTTATGAAGCTCTTAAATGTAACAGGCAAATTCTTGGGGAACATTTCCAAACCTTGTCTTTGTCCCTGGATTCAGATTCATATCTGGCTGAAAATCATTTGAATGTTTAATATCAAAAACAACCCGAAAAGGTAATTTAAATTTTTGCCTCATTGTAGAGGATTTGATGTTTCTGAACCAGAACACAAATATAGTGAGCAGAGTCTCTGAAATCAGGGGAATAAAAATCTCCTGAAACTGAAACGAAAGAGGACTGGAAAATATTTTAAGTTCCATAGCGTACTCCGTTTGTGTGTCTGTATGGGTGTCTGTACATGTGACATGTATGTTGAACTTGAAATACTAAAAAAAGAATCGGATGACAACTGACAAAGGATGTTATTCGTGATCTCCACCAACTCCCTGCACCATACCCTGGGGATCAAAACATTGCTTTATATGGGCATTGTGGCCTAAACCACAGTTCACGGATGCCGCGGTATCCGTTTTGTTCATAGCTGTACTGTATTGCTTCCTGTATCTGCTTTTACACCAAACAATGCCAGGATTGTTGGACTTGAGATGTGGGTGTAGCTACTATGGGAAATGCTAGGGCAGAGATTTTTGAAGGATGTCCCTAGCTGGATAATGCAGGCTGAAAGTTTGGCAACAGAAGTTCCTTCAGACGTTGTGCTCGAATGAAGTTAGAATCACTGGTTTTGGATGCTCTTAAAATAGCTCAAGTACATTGATTCGCACTTACATTGTATGCTTAGAATGTTAACTGGAAAAAAGTCTGTTCCTGCATGTAGCATTCAAGTGTACATTTCGTACATTCATGACAGACACGTAGTGTTCCAGTGGGGGAGTGTGGCTAGGGTTTGTGACTTCGCGATCAGAGGGTCAGGGGTTCGAATCCAGCTGCTGAACATATCGTGTGCCCTTGGGTAGCCTTTCTCCACCCAGGAGTATTAATGGGTACAGGCATTAGCTGGGGAGTAACCTGCGATGGACTGGCATCCCATCCAGGGGGAGTAGAAATATTCTCAGTCATTTCTGCCAAGGAAACTGGAGATAAACGCAGGCCTGATGGGCCATATGGGCTCGTGACAGACTTTACTTTACTTTATGAGAGCACATGTAGGATATAAAGTGCAATGCATTATGTCCTGAGCACAAGGTTAAATCAGGTCAAATAAGGTCAGAGTCGGGAATGAGGAAACATGATACAGTAAATCCCCTAGGCCAATTCAGTGACTTTTGTACTTCCTTACAGCAATTAACTTTTACACAGTGTAAATCTGATTAAATTGATCACAGCCCCGGTATTGGATTTCTGGCTGTTTTAAATGCATTGTTTACAAACTTCAGTCAATTGTATCTTGCTTCCTTTTCCTTGTGGTTACCTGTTCATTTCATTGTGGCCACCTGTCCAGAATGGCCACTTTGTCAATGGTATCCATCGTGGACACTTCTCCATGATGGCCACAGTATTATGGCCACAGTATGAGGGCCACAGTATGAGGGCCACAGTATGATGGCCATCATACTGTCACGTTGGCCAAAGTATGATGGCCACAGTATGATGGCCACTTCTCCATGATGGCCACAGTATAATGGCCACAGTATGATGGCCACAGTATGATGGCCATCATACTGTCACATTGGGCAAAGTATGATGGCCACAGTACATGTATGATGGCCACTTCTCCATGATGGCCACAGTATGTTGGCCACTTCCCCATGATGGCCACTTCCCCATGATGGCCACATCTCTATATATAGTATGGCCACTTCTCCATGATGACCATCTTTCAGCGGCCACTGCAATTAATTCCAGTTGCTATTGCATTGTGTATACTATCCGGTGCGCAGATTATCCTATAAACTGTGCCCAAAAAACTGCCCATTAATTTATTTATTTATTTATTTTGTTTTATTTTACCAGGGTAGCCCCATCAGTTGTCAAGGCACTGTTCTCCCTGGGGGCCCCGAATTACATGAAAACATGATATAATATCGGCAAAAGTTACATTACCATAAAAGAACCCAAGGAATTAAAACCACACAAAATTAAAACCATAGATTAAAACAGACGGTGTATAGATAAAAAGATTTAAAATGGAACATTAATCTTGAATTAAAAAATTACTTTACACGTATCTTGTTAAATATGAGGGAGTGAATTATCGAGTGTCCATGGTCCTTATAGGTCTTAAAATACAAACCATAATTATGTAAAACCAGCACCACTGACCTGTAAATTTAATGCGATTTAAAATCAGTTAAAATAAAAAAAATCAGTAGGCCACCCTTATATTCATATTTTGCATTTTCACACTCTCAATAAGTAATCTTAGTTCTTACCCAGACAGGGCATTATTGTCATAGGTTACTTATGGCATGCAGATTCCAAATCCAGTGATACGAACAGCTTACATTTTCATCGCTGCATTTCAGCGCAGCTGCTTACACGGCCCAGTAATTAGATTAGTGTTGTAAGTCATTACAGAATCGCGTTAAGTCTCAGCTGGCTTGCAGACAAAAACTACTAGGCATCGAAAGAAGAAAAAGTACAAGTTCATGTATGCGAAAAGAAGCTGATTGCCCGTATGACTCTCAGAAATCAAGACCTGGTGGTGACCAAGTCTATGCATAATTTATTTCTGTTACCTTGTTAGTCACCTTTAACCTCGCTTGTCACCTTTAACTCTACGTCCTTCACAAGCACAAAAACCAGTGACACCTCTTGGAGAATTCAGAGTTAAAGGTACCGTACACTACTAATAACGGGTATGGTATACAAAATTAGCATTTGCTGTAATTTTCAGATGTAAATGGATTTGGGGTTAGCATTTTGTAGCAAATGTTGTCACATTGGCCTGTTTAATTAAAGTTTTGTGTTCATGGATGCCGGAAGCCCCCCCCCCCCCCAAAAATGCTGTTCTTGTAGTCTGGCTCCTTGACCCTACTACAGACGAAAAGGGGCAGCTTATTTAATTATAGAGAATTGTCAGGTCAGGGAACCAGACTAGCTGGCTTGCACCCGTTCACAGATGTGTACCAGTAACAGATTGCAAACAAAATGTGGACTTAAACTAAATTTGGTAAATTGGGGGCAGTATTTGAAAAAAAAAGTCAGTTTTTTTTCCAACGATGGAAAACTTTGGAAATTGATACAAAAATTCCACTTGTATTGAAAATGACAGCACACCAGATGCCATGATTTCACATGATGCTTAAGACTATCGTTCACTTACAGTCAAGTACAATAGTGAATTTAATTTGGTAGTTTGGTTTTTTTAATGTTTGCGAAATTGTACATTTCCTAAAAGTTTGACCATGCATACCATGTTCAAATCAGACTGAGCTACAGGGCACTTCGTTTTGGGAAACTAGGAGCAAACATTGTGTATAAAACATGATTTTCATTTTGATTTTCCTCAAATACTTTGACAAATACTAGTACATGTAGTTAAAAGGTGAAGCAGTTAAGCATTGACTGAAGATTCATCTTAAAAAGACTTGAAAATAGCGGTTAAGTGTCAGACCAACTAATCTCACTCTCTGTATTTTAGCTTAGACCCTTCTGAATTCAACAATATTCATTAAAAAAAATGTGCATGGTGTACAATTTGCTACATTTTGTAAATCCACTAGAGTCGCTGTAAAATCCAACAGAAATTATCGATTTCTGCAGTTGTGGGCTGTAGTACTTTATGAAGAAAGGTCAATGGACGGAGGAGCCAGCTTTTTTGTGTTCATGAATCCGTACTTTGTAAGTTAACCTTTATAATGTACTTCCCGTCTACGTGCAGATCGTGCCCTGTAGGGTACATTTTGGTCGGCAACTTTCACCCATGAATGATGAAGTTCTGGTTGACCTGCACTCATGACCTTTACCTGCACTTCCTTTAAATTCACGGGTCACCCCGCATCAGGGATTGACAGGGGATAGGTAGAGGTCAAGGGTGAACTCTCAATAGTTTGTATAAAAATGGCCATAAATTAGTGAGTTGGCATATATAGGCCTATTGTACATACATACTTGTGTATACTTTCTATTTAAAGGGAATGTACATCATTGGCTTTTGCTGTTTTAAATTTTTTTAAAAATGAACTACATGTATTTGAGGGGTTAGTATAATAGATCAAATATTGTTACACTGACATGTTTGAAGTTTTGTGTTCGAAAATGCTGGAAAAACAAAAACGTTCAAGTAGTCTGGTTCGCTGACTCCACTAAAGATGAAATGGATCAATTTATAGATGCCGGAAAATTGTTAGGTCAGGGAACAAGTCTAGCTGGCCTGCACCCGTTCATGAACATGTAACCAATAGCAAACAAAATTTTGACTGAACAAAATGGTAAATTTGGAGCAGTAGTTGAAAAATAGTTAGGTTTTTCCAACGGTGGTCGGCCGACCACCGTTGGAAATTTATACAAAAATACCATTTTCTTGAAAATGACTTCACACCAAGTGCCATAATTTTACAAGATGCTTGAGACTGTCATTAACCAACATCCTAGTAAGGTTTTTCGTAAAAACCTGGTAGTTTTATTTGTCGATATTTGCAAATGTTGTATATTCCCTTTAATATGGTACGTGTACATTTAACTTAGGAGCTCAGGGCTCAAAATACCCTTATAAGTGTGTTTGAGTGAATTTTAGTGGTTTCCCCTTACCCAAATAGTTCAGTGGTCTTGTTTCTTTCGACATTTACATTTGTGCATGGTGGTGTGTATAATTTACGGGTAGTATGGAACCGGGCACCCTATTGAAGTATAACACGAGTACAAGAAACCCAACCCCAAAATTCAAATCCCGGAAGTTGTCTAAAGGCTTTAAATAGCTTTACGGTGTAAACTGCAACATTAGCGAGCATCATCTGTCGTGCATTAAAATACACATAAACACGAAATCTGTTTTGATTATCAATATACATGTAGCCTGGTTTTCATTTTGAAAATGCCCCACAAATGGCATTCGGAACCGTTCTTTTTCATCGCTTAAGAAGTTACTGAGTAATTTGTAAAGTTGGTTTGGTTATCCAATTTCATAATCTGAAACCGGTTCCTGACATCAGCGGTCTGGTACCCGGGTACCTGGTTCCGATGCACACTCCGAGCACTCAGCTTACAAAACACAACAGAGTACAGTCGAGTCTCGTTAATACAAACTCGTTCGGACCTAGCCAAATTGTTTGTTATATCAGAATTTTGTTTTAAGAGGAACATCAGTCCTATTCATTGTGCACATAAATGCACAGTCGGGACTAAGACTTTATGTTTGTTATAACCAGAATTTTGTATTAACAGAGTTTGTACTAACGAGATTCGACTGTAATGACATTAATAGTTTACAATCTTAATGCTACTAAATTTGTCCAATACATATAAAATGATATTACTGTTTGTGAGGAAAAAATGGCATCGTAACGCTGTTCTCATTTGCAATTTAAGCCTCTTTAGCAGGTCAAAAGTTTAGTTTGTTCTGCTCTAAACAGTGTCCGAAATTATAAGGCTTAAATCTTGCCTGGGATTTTTCAGATATGTCTTTGAAATTCTTTTCATTTCAATTTCTTTAGCCACTACACCTGTGATACAGGAAATGTTTACTGAAAATTAAAGCACTTGGTTTGTCCGTTCTAATATCTTCATATATAATATGTACATGTACATGTACCATGTTGTCTAAACACTTGCATCAAGCATAGAGCAAGGAACAGATTTACCCGTGTGTGCAGTACACTGTACGTGTGTTGGACCTACAGTACATGTACAGTATGTATCAATGCAATGTACACGTAGCTGAAAAGGTATGTACATTGCATTACACATTCAGTGCTATCTGTAATAACACACTCGGTGAAACATACTGAATTTTTTGCCATATAATTTCTAAAGCTACTCTTTAGACTTTAGGAAGAAACTGTTTATTTTTCAAATTCCAGAGAGGCTGTCCATTGAAAAGTCTTATTTATGTCTGCCCCTCATGACAGTTTTGTTGCTTATCCATAAATACATGTATTGTCCAACTCCATTCGTGGATTTGTGATTCATTAGGTATTGGCCTGTGAACGTGTGTGGGAAAATGTTATTCACTGGGTAAATCAAGGTCTTCGGGTGCGTTTACATACAATGAATGACAGTGTATCAATTCACAGTGCGGGCCGAGGGGTACACGCTACACTGCACATCAGACAATAGTCACGGAAATTCGTTTTCCAATCCTGAAAACAGATCAAGCGTGCTGGGCTCAACCTCGACAACTATGTCATTGCATTATAAAATGTAGCCATTGTCAGCATTAAACCCTCCACAGGTATTGAGTGGTGCGCTATCAAATGTACGGGAGGCAGAATTTTTATGAAGGAGGTTTATAGATGGTATTTTGATAGTGAAAAGTTTGGAGTAACTTTGGTCTGGGGAAAACTGATCGCTTTTTTATCGATTCAAGATTGGACAGGGTAAAAAACTTATTTGAGGTGGGAATAAAACACGTTACCTCCAGGACACTTTACTTACGTTCTACCAACTGAGTTATTCAAATTATTCAGTGCTTTATTCCAAAAGTCATAGACATAAGTTCAAATCCTAAACTGTATTTTTGTTCACAATTTTTATTTTTAAGGGGGATCCATAAAAAATTAAAATCCAAATCATAAGACTCCCGTGTTAGTATTTACCCAATTGTTATCTGCCTGATCAATTAAACGAAAGTTGAGGTCAAAATTTTTAGTCATCCTTTTTCAATAATTTTCAAAATGTTGTAAATTGTGCAAACTGATACAGAAACTGAATATTGACCTTGACTAGATAAGCCTATAGTCAGCACACAAAATAATGAAAAACAAAATAGGATGTCACACACATTTTAGATCTTATGTATATACGTGGTGCAAGGATGTGCTGCATTGCCGTAAAATCACGTAGGCTTTTGAGGTCAATTTGCATGCTCTCTTTCTTAAAAACAAGCAAAAATAGTATCCAATTGTGATTGTTTTATCTGAATTCCCTTTTGTGCTGCAGACAAGGTCTTCAGGCAACAGCTTTGTATGGAACATCCATTTCTGGCTTGGAAAAGAAACATCTCAGGTACAGTGGAAACAACCAAAAACAAAAATTTGAAAGATTTCCGAAATTTTTTTCATTATTCTTACTTATTCCAAATGCATATAAATACGTGATGTTTCATGGATTTCTCGTGATATTCATACATTTTGTATGAAATATTTACAAGTAATTCACTCAGGTGGGACTCGAACCCGCGACCTCCTGCATTCCAGTGCAGACGTCTTACCACTCGACCACCGTCTTACCACTCGACTATCGTGTGGTAAGACGTCTGCACTAGAAGGTGGGAGGTCGTGGGTTCGAGGCCCACCCGAGTGATTTTTTCCAACTTTCACTCGGAAGGTGGCACACTAAGCGTACAGTGTTTGTACGTCGGTGAAAGTAATTCAATTTTACATTGATTGTTTTATAACGCCTGAATACATCCCGGTCATCTGAGTGGTGGGTCGTTTATCAAGTGTCATCAAATTATTTGTCCCGACCCATGGCCCGGCCGCACCGCAAAAATAGAAGTTCCATTGCATGGTAAATAGAAGTTCCATTGCATGGTAAATAGAAGTTCCATTGCACGGTAAATAGAAGTTCCATTGCACGGTAAATAGAAGTTCCATTGCACGGTAAATAGAAGTTCCATTGCACGGTAAATAGAAGTTCCATTGCACGGTAAATAGAAGTTCCATTGCACGTTAAATAGAAGTTCCATTGCACGGTAAATAGAAGTTCCATTGCATGGTAAATAGAAGTTCCATTGCATGGTAAATAGAAGTTCCATTGCATGGTAAATAGAAGTTCCATTGCATGGTAAATAGAAGTTCCATTGCACGGTAAATAGAAGTTCCATTGCATGGTAAATAGAAGTTCCATTGCACGTTAAATAGAAGTTCCATTGCATGGTCACACTATTGGTGGCGCTAAAAAAACACAACGCTGATGGTTCTGATAACAAGGACTTATTCAGGGGTTGCTTAAAATAAATATGAATGGTTCACTTTCTTACATTGGAAAGAATAATTTAATTCTGTTACAGATGGAACGTTCTCCTCATGGAATGGAACGTTCCATCTGTCACCTCATGAAATTATTCTTACCATTGCACTTGTAAACATTCTTTATTTGTAAAAGCACTATAATTCACAAGCAAAATGGAAGCAAGGAAGCGTTCACGTAAGGATTGCACACATCAGAGAAATGAATTACGACTAGACAAATATGGGAAGTCTATCTTGAATTGCTTGAACAGTGATCAGATTTTCTTGATTGCGTGTAGGATGAGGCGGGTGTGGCAGCATACAAGACCACAGAGTTGGATGACCATCTGGGCGGGTCCCCCACCCAGCATCGGGAGGTGCAAGAATCCGAGTCCAAACTCTTCTCGTCTTACTTCAAGCAGATCATGTAAGCATACTTTTCGTGCTTTTTGTTGTATACTTTTTACAATTACTCATTCTTCGTAGTTAAACCTAGTCCGAAAATTTGGGACTCTCAATACTGTGTATTCCGAATCCATTACTATCCAAAAAAAGGGCCGTATTCTGTAGGATTTTGTTGATCAGAGCAAGAGCAGCAGATCTTTTGCCCTAACTGTTGGATACAGCAGGCTGCCTCGTAAATATCTAAGGAAGAACCATCGGCTGGAGTCTCGATCCTGCATTTGCCAGATATCATTGTAAACTAGTTGTCAGATTTTAGCAGTTCATGAAACACATTATTTCCTCAGAAAACATTTGACAGAATGTTGCTTTTTTTTTGGGGGGGGGCAGTTGGAGAAAAACCCCTGCCAAATCTAGGGAAAACTAACAGTATGGGACTGGAACTGAAGTCTCATAGCAACCTGAGTAGGTTTCTGACGCTCGTCACAGAGGTGAAAGTGAGGCAAGCGCCACCATGCCAACAGACAGATCGCAAAGGGACCATTGCTTATCTTTTGTATCAGGGATTCTTGTCATTTTTTCTTCTTCTTTTCTTTTTAGCTACCAGAAGGGTGGCATTGCCTCCGGCTTCAGACATGTGGAGAGGAACAAGCATGACCCCAAACTGTCAAAGGTCAAAGGCAAGCGCAACGTCAGGGTCATCCCGGTAAGTTTTCACGCGGACGCTCTGCGTTATATCACCAACATTGTACCTTGTGTGCAGGGTCTTTTTGAGCTGTGTAGTGGGGACGAAAATGTTAAAAAGTCTTTCGAAACAATAAAAGGTAATGTTCCTTGGAACTTGAGGTGATGTATTCCATGGAGTCCATCAGATCGTCATACGTGAACTTTTTACAGTATGTCGCATGATCGATTCTCAACCGATAAGATATCACAATCTACTACTATGCTATAACAATATCAAGATTTGGGTACCGTGTTTGTTTGGGTTTTCTAGGTTGACATGACATGGGATTCCTTCAACAACGGCGATGTGTTTATCCTGGAGCTGAACCCGAAGATCTACGTGTGGTATGGGTCCAAGGCTAACCGGCAGGAGAAATTGAAGGTAGGGTTAGGGTGGGTGGGACATACCCCTAAGCTATAAGAGTGAGGCGTGGCTGTAGGGTTCAGGAAACAGAAAAGTTAGAACATTTTTTTTATCCAGTTCACGTCGGATGACGTGTATACACCCAAAGGTTTTGCGGTATTCGGAACTGATGACGGATAAACACGCAACGAGCGAGGCCGGAAATATCTGTCAGAGATCTGCTCACAGCGAGCTAGGCCAGAATATTAAGGGAGGAGATCAAAAGGATTTTTCCCGTTCTGACGCGAGCGCACGGGAGGAACGGGCCTATTGTTCCTAATCCCCCCGGGCGCCTGCGTTCGCCCGGGCCCCGTTCCGACCGCGGGATCACGCTCGAAATTGCCTAACAATAGCACAATGAAATGGTCACGCTGGGTGCCCACAGCACGGTAGTACAATAGACCTGTGCGGTGACGACGGTGGATAATGGCAACTGCTCAAATACTATCCGAAGAAACATCGGCCACACTGAAATTTACAAGGAGACTTTGGAAATGTTGTGATAAAATAATGTTTGTTGTTTTCTCATCTCTTGCAGGCGATGTATAGTTGAAAGATGGATAGTGATTTAACTTGTTAAAATGCTCAACAAATCGAGAAGACGTTTCGGAAATTAGAGTTACATTGTACATGTGCATGTTTGATAGTTTTGTGTATTTGAAGGGAAATGTGCAACATTTTACAACAGTGACGTCTGATGGAGTGACTGAAGGAAATATTCCTGAATAAACGATCCCAGCTGGACCCGCCAACCAACCCATGGACTAAATAATGTCCCGGGGCCACCACGTGGTTGATCTCAGGAAAGACGCACTGCTAAACTATGTCAGGCACAGCTGGCCACTGGTTATCTACTGTCAGATCAGCGAGGCTGGCTACATTTATATACAATTGTAACAATCGTGAATCGGTAGTTGGCATTTTTTTTTCGTTGGATGTCTCATAACCAAAACCATTTTTTCGGTGAGGATATTGAAAAGCATGAGCAGGTATACCAATAGCCCCAACAGTAACATTATCAACTACCCAACAAAGAAGTTGATAATACTTCACATTTGTTTGCATTCTTTTGAGCCTTATTATTGGGCCATCTAAAATATTGTTTCGACGTACATCCCCGTGAAGAAATTACACCGTACGACTTTACCTTCCCTGTAACTGAAAAAAACTTCTTTAAATGTTCCACAAATTGAGAAGACTATGTGGGGTCTTCTCCTTTCTTTAAAAAATACATTTCGTGAGTAGTTTTAAGAGATATATACGGGAATAAAGGGAGTGATTCCTTGATTGCGGGGGACGTATTAAGTCGTGAACCCTAAACACGACGGGTGGCGTCAGCACAGAGGTGACTCTCCGACCCTTAACTTTGCAAAGGAATCAAAGTTAAAATTTTGTGAAGGCTTCTTGAATTATCAAAAACAGTGGACTTTCTAATCACAGCGTTGAAGATATAAAATTCAAGAATACAATTTCCTTTTACCAACAAGCTTGGAACAAAGGTTTAAAACAATTTCCAACATGTCCAATAACTTTTTCTCAGCAAACGAATTCTCCAAAAACAAATTCTAAGACAGCTAATGGATTTATCATTGAACTATGGGTTTTTGAAGTGCCTTATGCATATTTAAATTTTATGCAAATAGCTATAGCAGATGCAGTTTCCAAACTGATAATCTATGATTGGCATACAGCAGCGGGGTGGCGATAGGCGTGGGGTTCGGGGCCCGCTTAAGGGCCCCGGAAAATGTCTGATTTTAGATGCTCTGTGGTGCAATCTGAGGCGATTACTGGGCACTTCCTCTGAAATTTTGAAGCAGAATTTGTTTTAATTTTAAGAAGAATTTTCCTTCATTTGTTAAAATGTACTCTTGTTCTAATAAAGTTCCTTCTGTACTCAAAGTTGAGAACCATGCTGTTCTCCCCAGGATTTTTTCAAACCTGTGGGGGAATTTTTGTTGTGATACAGCAACCTGCGAAGCCACGGCGTGGGTTCGGAGCCCGCATAGAGGGCCCCGAAAAATTTTGAACTTAACAAGCGCCGCAAACATTCAGTCTGGTCGGCCCTACATCGCGCCGTACACACGGCGCAGTGTCAGTGATTGCTGCACTGTGAACGGCCCATCCCACGTGGCCGAAAATTCTGCACTACTGCAAAAACACGCTGCGATGTTTCTCCACAGGTTCGAGTTTTGCAATCTCGTCATTTCAATGGAAAATACATATACAGAAAATGAAGATCACGTTCTGTGAATTAATTTGCAGAAAATCTCTTTTTCCATCGATTTTTGTTTGGTATTTTTACTATTTTCACAAATTTCCCGAAAGCGGCAGCATTCCTGAGCTGCCGCTTTCACATACAAGGTTTCAAAATAGTCACATACAAGATTTCTGGCTACGCAACCGGCAGTCCCAGGCATCACAGGGGAGCCTCCTAGCGACAGTATTTCTAAGCAACAAGGTTGGAATGTGATGGGCATGCAGCCATGCACCTGTGGCTCAGAGTCAGATAGCTAATCGCTCCAGTTGCGCGTTGAAGGAAGTCATATTCTTGAAAGCAGACGGTCCGTGATGAAAGCAACCAATGGCATATTTATTTGCCGGGAACCGGCTCATTTCATTGGCTGAGATACTATCATCACTGTTTTTCATCTAAGAATCTTCCAATTACTGGCGGCAAGTTCTCAAAGGCCTTAAAGTTCGGTGGCCTACAGGCTTTGTAACGAACAAGAGTGGCATTGTATCAATTTGAACAATGCGGCTATCAATCATTCTCTGGAAAGGCTTTTCGGAGCTGAGATTTTTTTCGGAGCTGAGATTTACTAGTCCCTAAAGTTAATTGAAAACTGAAGGAAATATTCCTGAGTCTACGACCCCAGCTGGACCCACCATGCCAACAAATCCATGGACTAAATTAATGCCCCCACCACGTGGTTGATCTCAGGAAAGACGCACTGCTAAACTATGTCATGCACAGCTGGCCACTGGTTATCTACTGTCAGATCAGCGAGGCTGGCTACATTTATATACAATTGTAACAATCGTGAATTGGTGGTGGGCATTTTTTCGTTGGATGTCTCTTAACAAAAACCATTTTTCGGTGTGAATCTTGAAACGCATGAGCAGGTATAAACCAATAGCACCAACAGTAAAATTATCGACTACCCAACAAAGAAGTTAATAATTCTTCACATTTGTTTGCATTCTTTTGAGCCTTTATTATTGGGCCATCAAAAATATTGTTTCGACGTACATCCGCCGCGAAGAATTACACCATCCTACTTTTACTTCCCTGTAAATGAAAACAACAACAATCATATTAAAATTTAATTCATAAAAAAGAAAACGAATCCGTGGAAAGGTTTTGCGTGGTGGCAATGGAGTTTCATCGAGATGAATATTACAGCCCCATTTCCCTCATATTTCCTTTAATACTTGTTTCTTTTCATGTGTTTACGTCGCCGTATTTCACATACCTCTGCTGTTGCTGGCGGCCGTGCACGGGGGAGAACGGAACATTAACATGACAAAGGACGCACACAATGAGACTTTTAATGAGCTCGGGTACTTCGCTGGGCGCCTGGTAAGCCGGGCGTTCTACCCCGGGAGAACGGTCCTATTGTTGGGTTGAGTTAATCCCCGTTCAGAACGGGAGGAACGCGGGCGCTCGCGTCGGAACGGGAAGAATCCTTTTGATCTCCTCCCTAAAGACAAGGGGCCATGCATTGGTCCTTGAAAATGCACCTTTGTGACCCATTAATCCTTATTTTCAATTATCGTTTTGCAATTTTCAAGGATGTATTGGTGCCTTTTTGGTTTTATGCAAATTCAAATTTCCATATTCATGAGTTAAAGTGTGATGTCATTTCAGGCGTAAACCTCAATGTTACAGCTGTTTCAGCATCAATAAGTTGCCAGAAGTTTGGATGTTTTGCTGTCGTGAATTTTCTTTTCTTTGGCCATTCATTGTTGTGTCAGTACATTGGCATAAGCCAGTGAGCAGACTTTTCTCAAAAATGTTTTCAATGAGCAAATTTTTGGGCTCACAATTTTAACAGGAAACTCCTAAACTGAATGGTGTCTTCCTGAAATGATAGACATCTAATAAAATCTAGAAATGACAAACTGCCTTTGCATTGTGAATTGTGTGAGCAAAATAGGCTGTGTCACGTGGCCTGTGATGATTTGTTACGCGATGCGTGAATATCATGTGGCTTCGAATCACGCGCATAAATGCATGTACGTAAGCGCGCAGCCGATGATTGGGTTGGTACGAGTGGGATTTGGTTGAAATATTCTATACGCGCAGCATTTTGCTCCCAGATGCGATACCAAATGTCGTTTCTAGGTTTTATCAGAGGTCTATGCCTGAAATGAAATCACAGCAAAAGTTTAAAGAAGTGCAGATTTTAATAAAATTTACCAAAAAGGGATGGCAAATAGTTTTCATACATTCAAGAGGTGAAGAAAGTGGCAAAAAATGTGTTCCTAAGAAAAATTCATGTCATGGACCCTTTTATGGAGAGGAGCTGAAAATTTCATGAGTGTCGTCTGTTGCATGTTAAAATGCACATAATGTGAAATATGTCTTGATTTTCAATGTAACCTGGTTTTCATTTTGAAAGTTCCCACAAATGGCATTCAAAACCTTTCACTTTCATTGTCTGAGAAGTTACTAAGTAATTTGTAAATTTGGTTACGGGTACTTAATCCTGGAACCGGTTCCTGACATCGTTAGTTGGGTACTCGGGTACTCGGTTCTGATGCACAACCCTATTCATTTCTTTTTGTTTTGTTTTGAAGGGAGGACAGTATGCCAAGATGGCCAGGGATGACATGCACAGTGGCAAGGCCCACATCGTGTACCTTGAGGAAGGTGAAACACTGCCTGAGGACATCACTAAGGCCTTGGGATCTCCCCCGAAAACCTTCAAGAACTCACCGGAGGAAGACGAAACCTTTTCCAGGAAAAATGTCTCCAACACCAAGCTGTACCAGTAAGAGCGCTTGATTCAGCCAGTTGTCCAAGATGTGATTTCTTGTTTTGTCCAAGATTTTATTGATCCTAGTTGCTTTATACAAGGAAGCTCTCTGAATCCTTCAAAATCCTCCACTATAGACCCTTCGCTTTGACGTCACATGATTTCTTGGTAACGTGTACGGTCAGCCATCTTGGATTACACACAGTGTAAACGCGTTAGCAAGTAAGTGTATGATGGCTACGCGTTCTACGCGATCATCATGTAACAAAACCCAGATAAAAATTCCTAAGCCCGTTAAGACCAGATTCTCCAATTGTTAACAGGCTTTGACCCCTACTCAATAAATGGAATGAAGACCTTGAGTTTGTATCCTAGTATCATCCATTTCCTTGTTTACACACCTACAGTACCCCTAGAACTATGGGGCTCCAAGAAGCGAAGAGCCTCATAGGTGGAATGCCAACAGTTGCCATGTAGTACTACTACCACACAAATTCAAGACAGAAACTAATGTATTTGCATAATGTGCTCAAAAAGTGTTGTTCATTTTGCCCCCAACTTTTTTGCCCCGACATACTCAAATTTGTTGTGCTGAACAAAGAATGGGTCGAGGTGGTCCCGGTTTTGCCAAAAAAAAAAAAAAAAAAGAGATGAAAACAACAGTGGACATCAAATTTGACGTGATTGCATGCAATGGCATGTACGATCGCGAACGTCTGCACGCATGTTTGTAATCCAAGATGGCCGAAAAACAAATTGGTGATGTCATCAAAGACCACCCTATACAGCAAACTTGCATCTTTTCCTCAAACTTTTTATTTTCTAGTGCATCAAGGTTCATATGAAGCGTTTGAAACATTGCCTGTCTGTTCCTAAGTCTGCCAGTCCATGTTTACAATTTACCATGGTTTCCTTTTTCCTTTTTGTATGTTAATATTTGTTCTCTCTCCCAGTGTTACTGATGAGTCGGGTGCTCTGGTTGTCACAGAGAAAGCAGTTTGCCCTCTGACCCAGGATCTGCTGGACTCCAATGTAAGCCTGCCCTTGAAACCTGTTGATTTTTCCTGACGTCCTCCACCTCTGTTTTTTTAGTTCGCTCTGAACATGTTATATTAACCCTAACCTTCCCAAATCCTCCAAAATCTTCTTTACAAAATGGGGGATTTTGCAGGATTGAGGTTACACTGCAAAAGTATGTTGCTGATTTCGGAGGATGCACTATGTCAAGATCTTGGGCCAGACCTTGTGTTGTTTATGCTCAGCCGTGCATAAATTTAGGCCTATATTATACTTGAAATCCTCCGCACTGCGCCAGGATGTCACTGGCTCTGCCTCAACATATTGACAGTGATTGCTGGAGGATTTTGCAGGATTGAGGCAGTGGTCACCTCTCCAAGGACCACATTCAAGAAAAAAACAGAGGATTGAGGCTGTATGCAATTTTTACATGGAGGCGGTTTTAGGATTTTGCAGGATTGAGTTTACATCCTAGCAAAAAAGCCTAGGAATTTAGAGTTAACTTGTAACAATGGATAAAATGGGGCTTTAAACTCCATAATCCTATGAATTTGTTTTCAAATAAAAAAACCCAGATTCTCTCGGCATCCAAAATTCATGTTTTACTCGTTTGGAGATGACAATACCCTAAAGCGCTGTGACATTGAACCCTCACTATTACTGAATATTCAGCGGCTTCCAACATTTCAGCATGTTCCTCTCCATGTGCTTTCACAATAATCACCAGAGCTTTGTTTAAAGCCATGTTCATATTGGAGTCTTTTGGGGGTAAAAGTAACTTTACGGAGGCTGTTGTCAACCTAACCAAATTAAGTCCAGTGCAGACGGCTAGTAAACCTCAAAAAATTTCAAAAGCTGACTATCGATTTTAAGTTCATGGTCCGCAGTGGTGAGTTTCACAGGGCCACTGGGTCGTGGAAGACTTAAATTGGCTAGTAAACCTCAAAAAATTTCAAAAGCTGACTATCGATTTTAAGTTCATGGTCCGCAGTGGTGAGTTTCACAGGGCCACTGGGTCGTGGAAGACTTAAATTGTTAATTTTATTTAACAAATGACTCTCTGTGGGCTGGAATGAATCCAAGTGTGTTGAATAACCACGAGGAAATGGTAACAATCACATGCGGTAACTTTTTACAAACTTAAAAGCTACAGTCCATCATTTGCAGCTATCTGAAAAGTAACTGACGTAATTATTGTTGAAAAGCATACTTGGTTGAAAGATAGTAAGGGGATTCCCTGTGGAATTATTCTTTCCGGCAGCTGTCATTTTGAAGAAATCAATGAAAGAAGGTCTACAGACGCATCCTTGGAAATTTCCGTTAGTAGTTCGTTTTTTTATTCGGCGAAGCGCGCACAAGCGTTGACACAATGCACATGCGCGCGCAGTTGCTATAATTCATCGGCTCAGTGAGAACGTGTCTCGGACGCTGAATTCAGGCCCAATTCAAAACATGACTTAGCAACTTTCGATTTGAAATCGAGATCCAAGAATATTGTTTTCTCGGAATATACAGCATTCACTGAGCTGAAACTTCATCATGCTAGTTGTTCAGCACCCTTCTTTAGATTTTGAGCACTTTTGTTGCTTCAGACAAACATAATGCACAAGTTACAAATGATGGACTTTACCTTTAAGTCTAATGTGAATGCAGTTCAAATTTTGTTTGGTTAGTTCACCTTATTTTATGTGCTTGCTTCCAACAGGACTGCTACATCATCGATCAAAGCAGCGCCGGCATTTACGTGTGGAAAGGCAAATCAGCCACTCAACAGGAGAAAGTCAGGGCCATGAAGAATGCCGAGGTGAAGTATTGCCACGGCGACGGCTGCCCCGGCGACGGTCGCTGTGGGCAGTCCGTGGACTGTGGTTGGCTTCTTCATTGCACTGAGGCAGTCTTGTGGGGTCAGGGGTCATAAAGGAAGAAACAAAAATCTAGAAGAATTCAAATTCAAATTTGAAGAATGACAACATTTTTTTCAGACAATTTTTATTTCATTCGGTATTGCACACTAAAAAGTCTAACCAAGGTACTTTCATTCCCATTGGCTGATGGACATACAGATTAGCAACCGCTTTGGAATGCTTGTATTCTGATTGGCTATTTGATATGCAAAGTAGTCACCAATTTGACCTCTGACCCCTCAGGCCTGTCCATTTCCCTATGAGGGTTTGAAAGGTTATTGCCAGTTTTTTGTTGGCACTGTTGTTGCGGTATCACCTGAATTCCCCACTGTCACTTGTCCCTTTTCTGCCACTGAAACTTGCACAGGGTCCCCTAGTATCCTCCCCAGTACACCCACTTTGAATACTATCCTTTCCTTTACTGCAGATTCCCTCGCTTACTAACACTAACCTGCAACACTAACAGAACACACAGTTACACTTATGCTAACAAATTACACAGTTTTTTTCAGTTGTGATTTACTCCACATTACTAACAATCAAGAAAAACTTCAACACTTTTTAATATGACAACTACCACAATGTGAATTGAGGTATTCATTTTTGTGTTGTTTATTGTTGTATACAATCCACCATGTCGTCATTTTCATCACTTTTCATTTCCTTTTCCAGAGAACATTGTTTCTTTTATAGAATCATGTGCTGGTAGTCACAGCCTGTTATCTTGTTCTGAAACAGAAATGTTTTTTGAAGAATTGCACATTCGGCTATGAAACAATAAATGTAACGCAGAAGTCAAAACAAATCCGTCAATCCCACTTTACATGCATTCCTCTCCCCTTCTTTCCCCGCCTCCCAAATAGACACTGGGTTATCTTGCCACTTGGGTACAAACTATGCGCTCAATATATTTCCCCCGTAGCATTGAACGATGCAAGTTGAAACCCCCCCCCCATGCACCTTCCTTTAGTGTGAATATTATGAAATAATGCTCGATAGATACACTGAAGTTCAGTGTTGAGTTTGTCGGTAATCAATCTTGTAGATTGTATACAGTTTGCCATGGAAGCTTCCCCCCCCCCTCCGGCTCTGACTGAGTGCGTTCGATTACTTCCCCCAGCTTACTCGCGCCTGCTCCTCGCGTGATGACAGACATGCGCAGTGGAGCTAAATAAACGAATGGTTTCGGGTAAAGTTTCGTGCAAGAGCTGGAAAGTTGAACTTTGACATGACACTGAGGCTGCATCCGAATCAACTGTCTAGAGCTAGGTCTAGGTCCGCGGCCATTGAAAATACAACGCGGACGGGCTGACAATAGACGTAGCTGTAGCTCTGGAAGCACATGGCCTGAGGTGCTCGCCGGAGATCACGTTGGCAGCCATATTTATTGCATGGCCTTATGGGATACTTACCCAACTAACCGGCTCGGCGAGGCGGTTACTTGGGCCAGGCTCGAGTAAGCGCGAGAAGTCACGTGAGAGGTAAATCTAACACTGTTGCACTTGCACGAGTAAGCGCGGGGGAGGTAATTGAACGCACTCATAATTAGACTTGACAGCGCCCTCTATCGTTCCTGCACATAGCCTAAACAGTGTATCATGAATCTGGACAAATATGCGATAGATTGTGTAAATCCCACTTTTCCCCTCCTTTTCTCTGGTTTGCTTATATTTGGTGTTTCATTTCTGCACATACAATCAAATTATTTTTGATGGTGATTTTATGGGATTTGAGGTTTTTCGTGATTCAGAGTACAGCATGGGAGAAGTTAGTAGATGCACCATGTGAAGGGTTTGATCGCGAAACGAGAACTTTCTGAGAAGAACCAGAGGCGTTGACATGATGGTTTAGGCAATATGCTTTAACCGTTATTATGAGAGCCACCACTCAAAACCATTATTTTCTAATTTAGAGGCAATTGACTCGCATGGCGTTGCTTCAAACTTCTCCCAAGAAGGCATGAAATTTCTTCTATCATTTTTCTAAATCTTATGCAGTTCTTCGTTTTGCATAGTTAAATTTGCATACCCTGAACTCTTCGAGAAATTGATGTTTTACTCCCAACAACTTTTCAATTTGTATGTTTTGTTTGAATAGAAAAAAGCCAACTTTGTTCCCATTTTGGGCGTCTTAGACCCTCTGAAAAGGGGCTCTCAATGTGCACACGAATGAACCCGCCCTGCGAGAGCCAAAATATTGTCTGGCAACCAATAATTTGAATTTTTTGTGAAGAAATAATTCAATAACTAAACGTCGGTGGATTTTTGTGGTTATATGTCTCATTCAATAGTGAATAACTTTTATGTCGCTTGAACAATAGCAATTTGAAAAAAAAGCATTACTTTTACCAGTGAAACTCAAAAAATATTACGAGGAACACAGCTTTAATAGGCATTCTTTTTATACACTTTTCTCTGAACACCATTTTATTTTGTCATTCATTGCCTTTTCACCCACATGTAGCTCCTTATCATACTTGTAGTCAGTTTTATCATATGTTTGTGTTAACAATTTTCATTATTCATTTCTTCCATATGTATTCATTCTCACACAGGATAGAGTACATGTACTTTATTCATGTAGTTTTGTTGTAACAATCATTTGCCTTTAACAAAGATCCTTATTGGATCGCTCTGTTATGCCCTCTAACTTTTTTTATGATTCATGTAGTTTTGTTCTAACATTGTCACTGTGGGCATGTTTTCATTTTGTTTCTCAACAGAGAGTTGAATAATTCATCCTCATCCATTTTTTTATTTCATTGTGTTGCATCTGTATTTGTGTTTCATATTTAAGGTAATCAACATGATATAATTATTATTCATGTACGGAGTGAGTCAAAAAGAAAATGACAGAGTTAGAAACAAAATTGAAAATTTAAAAGGGGGGGGGGTACTCATTATGCCCACCATGGAAAAATTATGTACAAATTTCATAAACGAATGAAACTTCCCACAGACGTTAAGTTTCATGAGAAAAACATTTCCAGATGTGGAGCCATCGCAAACTCGCCCTTTTAGGGGCGTGGCAGCCGTATTAAAAAAAGGGCGGGCGGGGTAGTCATCATGGTGGGGACAATTCATCAGTATTTTGTCACACATGCACTGGACTATTAAACAAGCAAAACGAATACTAACAATGAAATGAAAATGATTAAATGAAACAAAATGCAGACCCGAAACATGTACAATGAAGAAATATTGAACAAATGAAGAAGTATTGAACTAAAAACAACCGCAATTGATAAATTAACACTGATAATCAAAAATTACTCTGAAAGGTGGAAACAATAATAGTGCACTTTTGTATACAGATGCAATCATCATTACTAATTCATGCATATCAGCCATGGTCACTTTCCAACTGACACCTGGGACTTAAAGAGTTTCATTAACAGACCTCAGTGGACTAGATTTCATTCTGTTCATTGCTAATCAATTACAGTGACAGATTTGGAGTGGGAATGATCAGATCTTGTGATTTTTTGCAGTGGAGAAAAAATGAGAAATACATAATTGGCCAATCACGGATGCAAAATCACCAAAAATGCTCCTTTTGAAAAAAGGTTCATTGTAGTTAGTTTTTCTACAAAGTGCCATTTTTGCTTCAGGTTTTGTGTGAATTTAAACTGAAATTTTTGCTGCCTTTTTGAAAAATGTTTGTAAAAACGGCTCAAAAGAATATATTATGCATTGGATTGCTGCGTTGATAATGTCATGGTTGCAGTGATTTTCAACGAACTGATTTCATCACAAAGCAATGTGTTTGTAAATCAGTTCTGAAGAGGAGTTGTCATAAGTTATATTCATGGCTATTTAACCAGTTTGCGCCGGATGATGTGTATACACTCAAAAGTTTTGCGGTATTCGGAACAGATGACGGATAAACACGCAGGGAGCGAGGCCGGATATATCTGTCAGCGACCCGCTCGCAGCGAGTGAGGTCGGAAATATGAGTGTGCTCCCAAGGGTGATGGCTTCAACCCGCTTGGCTTGAGGTCAAGTGAAAAGTAATCTCGCGCCTCGTTTCGTTCTTGTCAAAATAACCCTGGCGCGAACTGGTTAAGAATAAAACAAAATTGATGTAAACCTTTCAAGAATATTTTTTTTCCTCAAATGGAAGATTTTTTTTTCCAACAGTGATTTGCCATAATTTTCCCCTTGCAAACCACAAGATCTTTTCGTTCCCATGGAGACAGATTTGGAAGGTGATACAGTAATCACATTGACAACAAACTGATAATACCCTGTTATTTGCCTCCTCTTATGATTTACGACTTAGCTCATTTTATAGGTTTTACAAACTTAGACAGTAGTGTATTTCAGTAAGAGCAGTCAAAGGATTGCACGCAAGAATATACTTTTCAGACTCTTGATTCCAATCACAGGTTGCACTCCATTTGTATAAATGTGATTAACATGTACATGTACATCATGAAAGTTATTTTGAAGCACCATCATCTTAATTCACGCTGACCCTTCCAGATCCTTCAAAGTCCACCAAAAAGTTTTTCGGAAGTTTTCAGAATTGAGGAAGTTACTACCCAGGCACTATTACTGTACATGTACATGGAAACTACGTACATGTATGTGTTGATGTCTCTACAAAGTTTGAAGTCCAAAGAATGTGCCATTGGGTTTCTGCACTTTGGTGGAATTTGTAGGATTTGGGATGGTAGTGAGCTTAAAATAAAATGGTGTTAGGGTTCATTTACAGAGTGAATTAATCCTGATAAACATCAATATTGAATTTTGAAGATGACAATATACATATATGGGTCATTCTCTAAATCTGGGGTCCACTTTTGTTTCTTGTCCCTGTTACATCTGACATCGACGCGATCTGACATCTAACATGATTTTATAATTCTGGATGAACTCCTTAATGTATTCGTCCTTATTATGTGAAGCAGACGACCTACACAATAAATAACACAATTAGTCTGAAGTCATTTTTAATGAGACTTGAATGGTAAATTACAAAGTTTAGTTACAGGGACAGGATAAACGTCAAACACTTTGGTACCTAAGTATATAGAATGACCCATATACAGTATATTTTTGGACCAAAAAAATATGCCAAAAAACACCCAAAGCTTGGAAACTCCAGTAGCCCTGTATTGAATTTTTTTTGTACGAGGATTGACTGCATAACACAATTAATACCCCAACAAAATGTTTGTACAGTTATCAGTGTCCTAAATGTTAACCGTTCACAAACAGAAATGATGAACCAATTCATGTACATGACATTTAAATGGAGTGACAGACAGGCCATGTGGAAGGTTGAATGTGGTCATGGCATTAATGTGCATGCAGCGTGCTTCCAGGCAGCTGTCGTTATTCGATACTCAATTAAAGAGATTGAGAACCAGACACTACCGAGCACCGAATTTAGTATAGCTGCTAAGATGCTGTGCGGTTTGCTTGTCTGCATTTTTTTCATTAGCATCCCAGCTCACGAACAAATTCGAGGTGTATCTTGCGACATCGTTGATTGTATAATTTTTGGAATGAAAAGGGTTCAAAGATGAATGTTATGGATTCTGTTTTAGCAAACTTACAATTCTGTTTGCATCTGTTATTAGAAATTTGAGAGTGGTTAAAACTGCTGACAGACTGCAAATGTTTCAAAGAAATTGCCTGCACAATGCCTTTCCGATACCAGTTAAATGTCATATAACTGCATCAGACTGTTGTGAATGTTAACAAAAAGTAAAATGTATCTTGAGAACTAAAATTTTGACATTTAAGCTATTTATATCCAAATCATGACTGTATTTTGTTTTATTTTGTGACACAGTAGCTTAAAATACTGCAGTGATATTTTTAAATTTTGCTTAATCACAAGTGTGATTGTATGTGTAAAAATCATTCTGGTGCTGTACATTGTACGCTAGTTTGAGTTTTACAGTACACAGTGCTAGTAAACTGCCCAATGCTATACTTGTGATAACAACGCATATTTTATAAATGGTAATCAAAATGGGACAGAGCCACACCCTTTGGCCCAAAAAAAAAAGTCTCCGGTTTCTGGTATGGAGCTTGCCCAAAAAGTGGTGCGGCGACGCGGCTTTTTTTTTTTTTGTAACCTGTTTTTTGCTTCAAATGTCGGCTGATGACTGCAAATGGTGCCCGACTAAACTTAGTGCAAATATCCACAGAGTCCACAGAGGCCACATAAAGCTTATTCTTGATCATAACCCCATCTAAAAACATGTTAAAATTGTGCAGCAGCAGGATTCCAGTCAAACCAGTGAGTGTGGCGGTTTTGAGACATCATCTTTTATTGAAAAAAAAACTTTTTCATTTTGCCGACGCGCATGGCTACGGTGACACGCGCGCATACCAGAAACCGGAGACTTTTTTTTTTGGCCTTTCCAACTTTTTTTTTTTCACAAGCAATGTTTCATAAGTACAGTACTGTCAGTTAATATGAATAGTAAAGGTTGCTTCCAGTCTTTCAGAAAAGGTAAAGCAAATGTTGTGGGAAAAACTCACGAATATATTTAGGCATAATTTGCCAAACCATCAGTACATGGCAATGGCCTGTGGTACAGTATAGTACGGGCCAGTAGAAATCTGGCAGTTTTGCGCAACTGTGTACTGCAATTTAATGATGCAGTAATAATGCTAATTTGACCAACTTTATAATTAAAAAAAAGAATTACACCTCACTTCAGATGGATATGTTATCTTGCAGTGTTGTAGTCAAGTACTTTTTAAGAGCACAGGAACTTGCTGAAACTAGCATTTGTGTTTTAAAAGCATATTGGAATGAACTGCCCAAATTACATGTACATATGCACAAGCTTTTTCAGAATGTGCGAGTACAAGTATGCAAAATAGTACTTGACTACAAGATCTGCAACTCTATGAATGAAATATTTTCAAAAGAACCACAAAGGGAAACTCACTAGGTGAATTATAATGATTTTGGAAAAGTTGAACAAAGAAATTGACTGGAGCGGGGTTTTGAGCCTGCGACCTCCGGATTATCGTTCAGGTGCTCTCAGTTGGTAGAGCACTGGAACGGTAATCCGGAGGTCACAGGTTCAAACCAAGCTCCAGTCAATTTCTTTGTTCAACTTTTCAAAAAATAATATTTTGAAAATGTTTTTCTTTAAGGATTTTTTTTCTTGGCTTAGTATCAGTGTTGCACAAGTTTGACAACATTGTCCTGTGGTGAAAGGTTCACTTTCTGTTTTGGATTGATTTTGCGGTGTTATTTCTTTCTGACTTTGCAGCAGTGTGTTCTTGCGGTCGTCGAGTGTTTTTGCATTTTTTCTAAGTTTCTTTTCCACGGAATACAGGGGTTCATAAAAGCCAAGCAATACCCCAAGGGTACCAAGATCACTGCCGTCAATGACGGCGGGGAGCCGACCGCCTTCAAGTACATCTTCAAGAACTGGCGGGATAAGAACGCATCCAAGGTCGGGGAGGTCAAATCGCCCAGGGGCAACATTGGTAAGTTGTGGAGGGCCGGTAGGAGTCGTTCATGCCGTATGATGTAGGCTGACTGTTCCAAGCCGGTTTGATTTAGCTATTAACCCTAACTCTCTAGGCCTTTTTGCTTGAATGTAGCCTCAGTCCTGCAAAATCCTCCATTGTTTCTTGAATATGGTCCGTGGAGGGGTGACCACTGCCTGAATCCTGCAAAATCCTGCGGCGGTGACTGCCAATATATTGACGCTTGGCCAGTGACATCCTGGAGCAGTACGGAGGATTCCAAGCATAATCCAGGCCAATATTTATGCATGGCTGAGCAAAAAACAACACAAGGTCTGGCCCAAGACCTTAACAAAGTGCATCCTACGAAATCAGTAACACACTTTTGCCATGTAACCTCAATCCTCCAAATTCCTCCACTTTGGCAAAGAAGATTTTGAAGGATTCAGGGCGGTTAGGGTTCAGCTTGAAATGTTCAGACCAATCAAGTGAGAACAAATTTGACCAAGATCTGAATTTATGGTGAACCCAGGCTGGGACCTCGACTGCATAATAACATGCAAAACAAAATCGGGCCAACTTGACTCGCTCTTCAGCTGACAAATTCTCAAAAATGTTCAGGATGCGAAGACAAGGTCCTCAGCATTTCACCAGCCAAGTTTCAGGTTTCAATTCAACTGTTTAAGGAGACCTTTCTTCAACAATTTACACCTGAGAGTGATCTCCTACACAGTATTGAGGTCCCAAATTTGCCCAGTTTTAAGCAAGACTTGCTAGGCAAGACTTGTTAATTGGTTCAGTCCATGTATTGCTGCTATCTTTTACAACCAAACTAAGCAAAGCTGGTCAGTCCCTGCAGCCTGGCTTGTTTAAACTAAGCCAAACTAGTTCATACCGGTTTAATCTGGATATGTTAATTTTGAATGGAATGGTTAAGAAGGACAACAACACAACAAACAGAACAATTTTCCATAAAACTCAAGTCCATTAAATAAAACCACCACAAAACAAAACACTGCTTATATTTTCAGGTATTTTTCTGACCGCTTGGTTTTCTTTTTGTGCTCAAATTAACAATTCAGCCAAGATTGACTACAAGAAATTTGACGCCACCACCCTGCACAAAAAGAGTACCTGTGACTTTGAGGCAGACCCATCCCTGGCTGCGGCACATGGTATGCCTGATGATGGAACCGGTGCTGTCAAGGTAAAAACTACTTGTTTAATTTTCCACAAAAGTCAATTCCATAAAAAAATCAAATCTAAAGTTTATTTCCAGTCAACAGGAACGGTGGAAAAATAGGAGGAATATCCTTGTCTCAGTTCACTTTGAGTGGATGACGAGTGGTGGAGTTGTTTTGACTTTCTTCATTTTTTCATTCTTTGTTTAAATTTTCTGTAAATGTTTGACACTGATCTTCAACACTGAAGATCTTTTTCTTATTAAAATCGTGTGTATGTTATAAACGATATTTGAGGCTTGCTTGGTTCATTTTTTTTTTTAACCCCGGACCCATCGAAATCCAACTGCATGTTTTGTTGGGATCTGTTGGAGTGAGGACTGCACTGGTAAACTGATTATGCTTTTACATGGGGTTTAGGCATACCACCATAATCAGAGTCCAACAGTCTGCGTGTTGAGTTTGTTAGAAGGTTCTTTGTAAGAGTGAGGAAGGTTCTTAGTAAGTCACTCAAGGTTAGAGTTAAGAATAATAAATTATTTATGTATTTATTACATTTGTTTCCCCAGGGTGTGCCCAAACAGTTTAAAACTGGTTTCCATTGGGGGCCCTGCATACACTTACAAATGACTACACATATACACAAATACAATACATTGCATATACAATATAGCACAATGAGATAGAATAAAAGCATATGGGATTTAATCATTAAGTTAGAGGTCTACAGTTTGTCTGCATAAAGGTTGTATGCATAAACTTTTGTCTGAAAAATTCTCAAGAAACGTGTTACTTCTTCATGGGCCTATTAAGTTGAGAGGGTGTACTGTGAATGTTAGGCTGGTTTGGGTTTGGAAGTTACAGCTTAATATGTATACATGTGGTAATGATGAATCGAGTCGTTGTTTTCCACAATGTGTATAGCCTTGCTTTTTTTTTCAATTTGGCATTTCTTTATAATGAGCAGTGTTAGAAAATTTTCCCATGATTGGCTGAGAATTGTTTGTTCCACACTAAACAAGTATGCAACTTTTCCTCAGATCCACTGATTTCCTTGTTTGATTACTTCTCTTGAATGCCATTGCAAATTGAAAAACACTGTAAAAAGTTTTGTGTGGTTTGGAGTTTCCTTGTTTTTTTTTCTTCTAAATTCCTAGTTGCATGCCTAACTAAAATCGAACCTTGTGTCAGGGCGTCTATGAAAATTGTGGTATTCTGCTTGAACCTGTTGTTGTTTTGGGTTTGTTTTCCTCGGCAGATTTGGCGTATTGAGGATTTTGAAATGGTGGAGTTGGAAGCCAGCCTGTATGGTCAGTTCTTTGGTGGGGATAGCTACGTGATCCTGTACACGTATAAGGTCCGTGGCAGAGAGCAGTATATCATCTTCTTCTGGCAGGTCAGTAACTTCTACTTCTTGTCCTATGCGGCTACTCGTTTACAGCCTATTCAGCGACTTAACGAGTAAGAGCGTGATCATAGATGCAATTGAGATCTAGTGATTATTGAGGAATGTCACTTGAGGTCACAGGTCAGTGGTCTCCCACACGCCCACCATATTAAACGTCTACGGTTGCAGACTAGTAAATAAACTGCCATAGACCCCAGTCGTGAATTCACAGACTTCCGAAATTCAGGAAAAATACTCACAACTCTTCAAGGTGTTTGAGACACACCTGAAATTAACGTTTATTTCATCATCTTTCATTTTCTGTTCATTTGTTTTGGGGTTTAACCAATTACTTTTTGGAGAAAATTCCATCCAAAGGTGATCAATGCAATCAGTCATATTTCATTGTACATGTACTGTACGATCAGTCGATCAAGCGCCGTGCTAGACATCCAAAATGGCAGATTTGTAACTGTTCACATGCAAAACTTCAATAGACTGTAAGAATTGTACGCGAGGGCAGGGTGCGTACGTGCACCTGCTGATACTGGTAGTAATGGTGCTCATGTGCCCTTCAGTATTGACACTCTTGTTTGTTGGGGTGTTTGTTTGTTTGTGTTTTTTATTTCAACTTTTAAGGGGGAAAGCATTTTCAATATGACTACACTGAAGGACGTGTGTCTGATTATTATGATCATGATTATATCGTGTTTACAATTGTAATAACCTGATATTGATGAAAATCATTGATGATTGATAAGTGTCGTTTTGGTCCCTATCATCATTAGGGTTAATAATTTTCATAATGTGTTTGTTATAAATTGAATATTGAATATATAGTATGAGTGGAAGTTAGTGGTCGGATTAGGAGGACAAAAAGGTAACCAGTAAATTTGAAGACCAGGTCTAATAAACAGATTTGTCAGCTGTCTTCAAGACCACTTGTGATTATTAAGACATTCATGATCTTTACTTGAAACTCCTCCCACCACTCCCCCGTCTCCAACAGGGCCAAGAGTCGTCTCAAGATGAGAAGGCGTCGTCGGCCATCCACGCCCAGAAGCTGGATGACTCTATGGGCGGGGCCCCGGTCCAGGTGCGTGTGGTGCAGAACAAGGAGCCTCGGCACTTCCAGATGATCTTCAAGGGCAAGATGATCATCCACTTGGTATGTACATATCTGTAGTTTGTTCTTTCAAATAAGTACTTGTAAAAAAAACCTAATCGGTTACTCACGTTACCAAACTGTAACGTGAGTAACTGATTTTGTGCGTCTTGTTTATCATACAAAACACATTTTTCTGGATGTCATCTTTGGTGCTTAGGTAGGACTAGGTCTACTCTATCTACCATGGGGATAACAGTTATTAAACCTTTTCAGTAATTACAGCCCAAGGAAACTCAAAAGTACATCAAATGTAACTTGAGTAACCTTGGAATTGCCCTTGTGCAAAAATCTACATGTTTAATCAGCCTTAGAAAAAAATAAATCATGCTTCACCCAAAACTTTTTCTAACCATCATTCCATTGTTAACCTGAAAAAAACCTGAAAAATTGTATTAAGGTATTTTAGTTGTAAAAATGTTCTTTTCTTTATGCTTCCTTCTCTAAAATCAAGTTAATAATTAAATTTTTAAAGTGTTTTGATTGTTGACCTAGGCCACCATTACTTTGTTTCATCTTTATGAAAGTTTTGCCGTGGTACACGGGTTCGAATCCTGACCGTGGGAACATGGTGCTTGTGCTCTTGAGCAAGGCACTTTACCATTATTGCTTCGTCCTTCGGATGGGACGTAAAGCCATAGGTCCCGTGTGTTGTGTAATGCACGTTAAAGAACCCAGTAACACTTGTCGCTAAGAGAAGGGGTTTGCCCCGGTGTTTCTGGCAGTGGCAGCAATTATGCGCCGCAGCACCTAGCAAAAAAAAAAGAAGGTGCTACATAATGGGTCTCATATGTTCATGTACTTCATTTACCTGGCTTTGGTTGCATTCTCCCCAGCGCTTTGTATCCTCTGGCAAAAAGCGCTATATAAATACAGTTATTATTATTATTATTATTTTTTTTGGGGGGGGGGGATATCTCATTAATCATTTCCTGTCATTGTTTCAGTTTTCTACAATTACCTTTTTGGTGGCAATTTTCTTCACCTGTTTGAGATACTCCTTACATCCCTCAGGGAGGCAAGGCCAGCGGTTTCAAGAATCGTCAAGAGCAAGACAAGGCAGAGGCCACGGCAAGACTGTACCAAGTCAGAGGGACAAATGAGCTCAACACTAAGGCCATCGAGGTGAGTGCGATGAAGCTGAGATGGCCATTGCACAAAGAGGTCTACATCTTTCTAGTGTTCTTCTGAATAGTCTGGGAAAACCGGGAATTCCTGTATTTTTTTTATGAAACAAATTCTTAGATTTGCCTTTTAGCCTTCAAAATCCTGCTAAACTTGAATCTTAAAAAAACAGTCACATTGATGTGGCAAACATGGACTATTTTTGAAGATTACATACATCTGAAACAATCTACAACTCAAAAATGTAATCAGTGGAGTTGCAACCGTGAAAAATAACAGTTAAACAGCTGCCCTCCCCCTCTGCTGAAAGTTAGATTGTTTAAAAATGCGCATTATCTTCAAAATTAGTCAAAGTTGGCCACATTAAAGTGACTTGCCTTCTTTGAGAATTTCTTCAACCCAGACCTGGGTGACCTGTGACCTGTCACATGCGAGACATAATTTGCCATCAACATGACATTAATCATCAGATTTTTTTATACGAACCGCCGTTCACTTCTTTCTTCTGTTGAAGGTTCCAGCCAGAGCAAGTTCTCTCAACTCCAACGATGTGTTTATTCTCAAGATGCCCAATGAGACCTATCTGTGGTGTGGTAAGGTAAGCATTTGCCTGTCTGAAGTTCCCAACCTGCTTATTCAGCTTGTCTGGGACTCTGTGACAGTATCATGCCAGGCATGGAGAAAGAAAAAACTACTCCCTTGCCTTAAAAACTGTTTTACTGAGAAATTGTAAAATTGGAATTTCGGCAGAGTTGCCACAGTCATGGAAAACTCCTGGAAAATTTAAAGCTGTCATGGAAAGTCATGGAATTTTGTAATTTTACAAGGAGTCATGGAAAGTTGAGATTCCAAGGAAAAAGTCATGGAAAAGTCATGGAATCCTGCTCAAACCACACTGGATGGTGGGTCACATTTGGTTAGGCCAGCCTTCCACTTTACATTAGGAAGACAGTGACACGATACAGGCTTTCAAGTATTCCTACTTTTTCCTACTTTTTCCTAGTTTTTTTTAGTACCTTGATCTTACCTTTCCTACTTTTTTTGAAATTCCTACTTTTTCCTACTTTTTGTCCCACATTTCCGAAATATGAAATGTCATCGCAATATTTTTCATAACAGTGTTACACACTGTCGTATGTAAAGCAGACAATGAAGGTTTGGGCACAGGAACACAACTGTTTTTCCAAGAGCTTAGTTAAGGATGGAGCGCAAGTGTTGTGAGTGTAGAACATGCCATGGATGACTAACAACAAAAAGTACTGAAAGCCTGCAGAAGTCTTACTTTTATCCTGATTTTGTCCTCCAAAGTCCTACTTTTTTGGGGGAACATTTTGATTCTACTGTTCTGCTTTTTCACCTGGGTCTGCTTGAAAGCCTGCAGGATACCTTATAACAGAGATGCCACTTTTCAGGTTTTAACCTGAATTCAGGTTTTTTTTCAAAAAATGTGACAAATTAAAAGTGCTGGATTTGGTCTGAAACATCCAGAAAACACATTTTTGAAAGGGGGTAAGGGCAGTTTCAGGTTTTTTAGTAGTGTTTCAGGCTTTTTATTGATATATATGGGGGGATCTCTGATTATAAAGTGTTGGTGACATGTACATTAAGTTTTACTAGAAATATGGGAGGATCAGATGGCCGTGAGTGGTAGTGGAGGCCATTTTGGTTGATGGTAATGCACATTGCTTAGACCTTCATTTTCAGTGTTATGACCGGCCAGTTTATCGTAAATTAGCTTTTAAAATACAAAAAAAAGTTGAAGGAATTTTGGCCTTAAAAGGTCACGGGAAAGTCGTGGAATTTCATTTTAAGATTCCTTTGGAAACCCTGTTTCTGGCAAAATCAATTAAAATGGTTTATTTGTTTTTAACAGGGAGGCAGTGGTGATGAACGAGAACTAGCCAAGGCAGTGGCCAAGACACTAGCTGGCAGGTAGGCCAGAGGATGATGATCTTATTCCTCGCACTTCAACCATCCAATGTTTACTGTCCATACCTGTTCATTTCATGCAACTATGACGGGGGCAAGATTTGTCAGGATTTTTCCTGATTTCGGGATTATTGGACAGGATTTCTTTTTCTGAATTCAGGATTTTTTTCAGGATTTTTCTTGATTTCCGGATTATTGGACAGGATTTCTTTTTCTGAATTCAGGATTTTTGTCAAGATTTTTCCTGATTTCCGGATTATTGGACAGGATTTCTTTTTCTGAATTCAGGATTTTTGTCAGGATTTTTCCTGATTTCCGGATTATTAGACATCTTTTTGAAATCTGAAATTCCAGAGGCTGTGTAACAACTGATGATGTTCTGGTAGTACCCAACGGATAACGTATCACCGACCGATAATGTCACACAAATTGACCGATATTGTATCACTAACCGATAATGTAACAAAAATTGAACGATAGTGTAGAAAAATGTACTACACTATCAGTCAATTGTGGTAACATTATCGGTCCTAACCGATAATGTAACGAAAATTGACCGATAGTGTAATAACTTATTCCAATGCAGGTCTCAAAGAGCTTCGCAATTAAAACCCCTGTTCAAGAGACCAGTTTTCTGCAGCAGCTCGAGATCAGTGCAATCTGGTCTTCACCTTCACTGGTACCCATTTAGTAAAGTGGATTGCCCAAGAACACAAGCACCATGTTCCCCACCATGGTTCTATCCCATGCACATTGTAGTTTTTTTTGTACCATGGCACACGAGTCGAACACCTTCACCATTGAACCACATCAAGTTTTAAGTGGTAGGCGAAAGCGAAGAGCATTCTGAGTTTCAAAGTTTGAAATATGTTGTGAATTCTTTTTTCATTTTCAGGGCGTCAGATTACACCATGGTGCCAGAGGGACAGGAACCCACAGCTGTCTGGAGTGCATTGGGAGGCAAGGCGGCTTATGCAAACACCAAGGCCTTTGAGGTATGCATTGAGTGTTTCTCTCTCCCGCACACCTCAAGAGCTTTGCTCAAGTCAAGTACGAGTCGGTGACACTCAAGTCAGTTCTGAATCTGTTGCTTAGTTCGGTCTTTTTTTTTTTTTGGTAGCCCTAGGCAGAAAAAAAAATAGTTCTGCTTCCTATTACATACCTTTGAAAAATAGGGTCGGTTGGTCGGTCGGAATTTTGGTTTTTTTTGCCAATTTTTTTTATGCAGATTGAATGGGGTATTCAATTATATGCAAAGTTTTAGCCTTAATTATTTCCATTGCACTACGAAAGCTATACACAAAATGGCCACAAAAAGTGAATAAAACCTACCTTTTTGTCAATATAATTAAGTTAGATTATTCCTTAAAAAAATAATGGAAAATTCAGTACAAAAGTATTGCAAGAAAAACAACAATTTAGAAAAGGAATCTATTTTCCGGATGAAACTCGAAAATTGCACTTGGTGGGAATGCTACTTTAAGCAGCCACTTGTAGAAGACCTTCAACTTGTAGAGGACCTTTCATTTTCTCCTCTCAGAGTGAAGCGCCTGACTTCCCCCCTCGCCTGTTCCAATGCTCCAATGCCGCTGGTAACTTCAAGGTGGAGGAGATTAACGAGTTCACACAGGAAGACATGGTTCAAGATGACGTCATGTTGCTGGATGCCTATCACACGGTAAGATTTTATCTTGAGATATATCAAACCTGTCCCAGTGAAACCTTTTAAAGTTTATTCATTTATTTCGTATCCTGCTGAATAATACAGATGATACCGATGATGCACGATAAAAATGATCGGTAATTTTCGAAAAAATAACAGACTAGGTCAATTTGAACGCTTAATTTTCTGAGTAGGAAATTCAGAACAGTATTTCTGAGTAGGGATAATAAATGTGATGTTTAAAACCCTTAGGGGCCAGGTCGCCTTCGTTGTTTGGCTCAGGCCATTACTGGTAGCCAGTCCCCTAACCGGTTTTAAACCATACATTTAACGGCAAGGCTGTCAGTAATTAATTCGATAGAACATTGCCAAACCAGATTGGTTGGGTTAGGATGTTGATTTAATTTACATTTAGTTTCAAGAAATTTTGCAATGTTCGATAAATAGTTTCAACGAAATATATTTAAAGAGTAAGCATAGTGGGAAAAAAGTTGGATGTCAGACTTATTTTTCTCTTTTTTGAACACTTTGCTGTTGTGTAGGTGTTTGTGTGGATTGGGTCTGGTGCCAATGAGGTGGAGAAGAAAGAAGCCATCAAGATTGCACAGGTAAGTCTAGGAACCAGCAGCCAGTTTCACAGTACCTGACCCTTCCTTAGCATTTGGTTTTTAAAACACACTGAAGAAAAAAACAACAATCATGAACAAAGACTTTTTAAAAAGGTTCATGTAAGGCCAAAAAAAAAATAAGTCGGTCTCTGTTACGCGCGTGCGTCGATTTTAATCATGCGCGTCAAATTTTTTTTTCCAAAAAGTTCCGCGGCAGCTCTAACAGCGCCCTCTATTGCCGCACCTCCTCAATTTTTTTTTACCAAAGAGCACCAAGGAATGGGAAATTGCACCAAGGCAAATGATCGAGAGCACCAAGGCAAATTATGGAGGACACCAATGTACATGAGGACACCAAAAAAGCAAAATAGTACCCCACCTTGTCTGTACAATCCAAGCTTGAAAAAAAAAAAAAAAAGCCCCCCCCCCCCCAAAAAGCCGCGTCCCCGCGTCAATTCCGGAACTTTGGTCTGATCAGAGACCGAATATTTTTTTGGGGGAGCCTAAAGAACGTAGTATATAATGACAGTGACAATGCATGTTGGGATTGATCACTATGGCAACAAGACCTGCTACAGTGGTACCCGGGTCGACTCGGGTTAGCCCCGTGCCGTTGGATTAGCTCTGACGTCATTCTCGGGGCTTACACAGGTCAGACACCACAAACCCGGCTCATGGAGCGGAGTCAGTGGTGGAAATATGTCAGACGCATGTGTTGTTCAATCCAAGAAATGGACGAACATTGCAGCTGGACGGATTAGCCTGGCTGTCCTGGCTAAACCGAGTCGACCCGGGTAAGCTAATCGAGCACACCCTTTATCCCATCCCAGAATGTAGTTTTTGAGTTCCCGTCCTGTTTAGTACCAGTCATGATTTCAAAAACTTTACCGCAAAACAGTTTTGGATTTAGTTAATGCTCTGCTTTGTCTCTTTTCTTCAGGAATACATTTTGTCGGATCCTAGTGGCCGAGACGTGGATGCTACATCGTTGATTAAGATCCAGGAAGGCAACGAGCCGTTGCATTTCACTGGTCACTTCCATGCCTGGAACCCCAACTACTTCAAGGTAAAGCAAATTCCCCTCCCCTTTCCAGCCTCGGCTTTGCTATGTCCTGTTTTCCCCTCAAAATATAACCCTTGTTCCTTAAAAAGGAGTGTGGAAAAAGGACCATGACTTTGTTCCTTACACCCCTTGTTATCAGCTGTATCCTCCAGAAAAGGCCCCTCCTCCCTTCAAGATACGGCCGCCCAACCACTGCCATCCCACCTTCCCTTATTCTCCCTGTCCACTCCCCCCCCACCGCCCCTCCTCCCTGCCTCCTACCCCTCTCCACCCCGACCCCTCCCAACCCCCAACCCTCCCCATCCTCCACCCCCACCCCCATGCTCAACCTCACCCCCCTTTCCCGCCCCACCCCAACCCCACCCCGAACCTCACCCCATGCACGGCACAACTCCTGTCCATATACATGTAGCAACTCTTTATGTCCAAGAAAAGACGTTTAAAACTATGTCAGTGATTACTGCATTTCCCCCCCTGTTAATCATGTATTCTTATGAATGAGACACAGATACATATACCCTGAAGCAAGACAATGCCAACCCTGACCCCACCCTCTAAAGTTAATCCTAATCCTTCTTAAATGACACTAAAATCTAACAATGTATTCCTGAAAGGGACTGGAAAGAGAATATACCGCCCTGCGGAGCACCCGACATGTAAGGAATCCGTTGTAGAGCATTTCTGTTGCATTTGATGCATCGGCAAGGCATGGTACCATGGGCGACATTACTGATACTTATTTTATGAATTTATTTTAGGTCCATGAGGGGTCAATAAAAGTTGCCAGAAATTGACTTTCTTTTAAAGAATACCAAAGGAACTGTACATAAAATGAAAAGTTAATTGTTGCTTTGCAAAATGCATAGGGAATGCATGGACTAATAGAGTATTATTATTATAATTATTATAATTTATTTCTGGTATTGAAACCAAGGATTCCTCAAAAGCGCCCCAGGCACTGTATCTCGCAAGCCTGAAGAAACCTGTCGAGAGAAGAAAATGAGAAGAAACTACAACTTAAGAGGTGGGAGGAAAACCCCAGAAGAATATTCTGGGGAAAACCCACGGAATCAGGCAGGGACTGAAAACCCAATCCACATATTGGCCCAGGCAGGAATTGAACCCGGGTCACAACAGTGGAAAACTTCTTGGACGAGGCTGTTCGTGTATGATTTTGTTTGTTCGTGAAACAGTCGTTGAATCACCTCCGCCCGCCATTTTGAAAACAGTTTGGTCCTCCTCTCTTCCGAATCGTGCGGCAACTCTAAAAATTCTGTCATGAGTAAAATATCAATTCATTTACCTCAAACACTAAGCTGTGAGTGTCTTGTATCAACCTTGATAAGTTGTGCAATGACAGGCTCTAGGACGATCATGATTTGCTGTTAAAATAGGTTTACATAAAGTTTCAGTTGCTACACCAAAACTTACGCCACCTAAAATTATTGCACAAGTTACGCCATAATTTGTTACGCACAATGAAACTTCCGTGAAATTGTCACCACTAAGATGTTGCGCAGTGTGAAATGTTTTTCAACTTACGTAATCAATTGTGGCGCAAGTGGACGCAATAATGTAAAGTTTTGTGAAATCAGCCGCAGCACTACTTAGTATCTCAAGCATGTCGATAACAGCAGAATGCAATGCATGCATGCTTGACTAATTCCTTTTGCATTGAGTGATATTAACAAATAAAATGCAAGAAAAAAATCAACTTCAGTCATTTGTCTTTAATTTAACAACAATTTCTCAAAACTGAGTTACATCCAAAACCCTGAGGGATAACATGACAGGTTTATTTTTCAATAATATCATCTTTGATTTAAATACTTCGCTTGTGGCTAATTCAAAACCTGGTAAAAAGTGTATCATTCATAAGTCTAATTCATGACAGACTTTATCTATTTGTCTTTTTATTTTTGTTTATGTTCTGTTTACTCTTACCCAAACCTTACATACTCGATCAAAATCCATCCCCCATTTCGACGGATTTTGGCAGATAAGCCATTTGTACTAAGTCCATCAAAATCCACCAGCACCAGTGATGTTTCAGCGGATTTGGTCCTGAAGCATTATGTGAAGTAACGTGAGTGATGGATTTTGACGGACATGGTCATCTATAAAACTAAGTAGGGAGTTTATTAAAGAGTTAGTCAACTTTTGTTGTTTATTGAAACTGTTTTCATTCATCACTGACAAGCTGCATAAGTCTACTCTAATGTATTGTATTATTTTGTTAGTTTCAGTCTTGGCAGCATCTCGTATCTTCGTTCACTGCTCATGACATTCTTTACTTTTATTTTCTTTTGCATCGCCCTCCAAATGTAACGGAGCTAACTAACGGTTAGCAGCAAAGTTGTGCTAACGACAGAAACAATTATCTTAATCGTTAAGCATGTTTCAGGGCCTGGACGTACTGATGCTATGTGCATTTAAACAAGAACTATCATCTCATTATTTTGAGCAAATTCTGCGTCTTCAATCAAAGTAAGCATGCTCTGTGTTGTGCTTTACAGCTTACCAAAACCGTTATTTAAACAACTGCTTGAAATTATATTGGACAAAGCCTGGTATGCTGTGAGGATTGTCCAAGCGAATTCTTCATAATTGAAATGTGGGTATTTTCTTTGTTATAACAGGAGCTGCCTAACTTGGACGACATGAAGGCGCAGGCTAAGAAGGAAAACGAGAAGATTGCTATCGCGGTAAGATATTGGACAAACAATTTATCGCATCATCGGCCCGATTCACGGGCTCTCCGGTAGTCATCCATCAGCTGAACAGCGCCCTCATTTGTCAGACTTCAGACACACTCGTTCATTTGTGCTCGCTGTCCTTTTCCAAGGCTGCCGGTGATGGCTAGTTTCTTTGAGCTCTGATTGGATACATTTTTTGTCCAATCAGTGACCAAGGGTTAGCAATGCTGCATGCACAAAGCTTGTGCACAGACGGCAGTCACGGCACATGTATTGATCGTCGTGGTGAACTACCCACAATGCTTTGCATTTTCTTCACAATTATGTGGGGCATTTTGGCAAAATGAGACAGAACTGGGCACGGGCCGTAGTGGGGGAAAATGCCAAAAAAAAAAATTTTTTTTTTAAATTTCAGATTTATTGATATTTTTGATTGTTGGTACGTCGACTTCACATATTTTAAAGAAACTGTGAAAATTGGGAATAAAAGTGTTTTTAGGGAAAAACAATTTCCATTTTCATTATCACGACTACAAAACAGTCAAAAGCTCAAAGGACTTTTTCTCGCTTTGCTTTTTTGACATGTCGATATATGCGAACTTTGAACTGTCATAACTTGTGAACAGAATGTCCGATTGAAGTGCAACAAACAGCGCTGTAAGGAGAATGTCATTCTCTTTCCTAATACCCACAAACTCTGCCCAGTTCTGTGCCATTTTGCCAGAACGCTTCACATAATGTGAAAAGAGATTAGCCATCACCAACTCCCTTCGTCAGGGCAGTTGAGCACGAGGCAACATCCCAGGTAGTTTTTGGAAAGTTTCATTGCTGCGATCCATTAATTATCATTTGCTAGAAACTATCGATTTTTGAGAATTTGTGTCATGTGAGTGTGATATGGTGCATGTCATCATCTAGAATGGAGTCATTCTGTAGATTGCAAGGTAAGACTTAAAGACACCACCATGTGTGTACAGGGTGAGTCAAAAAAGTGAAACCCAATTATCAGGACCATTGTTTTAGTGAAGTTCTGCATGTAGCACTTTCAAAATCTAGGATACGAAAGCCCAATTCATAGGCTTTCTTTTAGTACAAGAATCATTCAAATCACTCATGTACTTTTCAAGTTATGGAATTCTAAACACAATCACCGTTTTAGAGTTCTGTCCACGGATAACAAGAAGGTAAGTGTTCTTTCAGCAAAACGAAAACAAATCACATAGGGATGTGTGTGAATTGTTTTCGTTTTGCTGAAAAAACGCACACTTTTTTTTGCGATCTGTGGACAGAACTTTAAAACAGTGGTTGCGTTTAAAATTCTGTAACTTGAAAAGTACATGAGTGATTTGAATGATTCTTGTACTAAAATACGCTTTTCAATTTGGCTTTAGATTTTCAAAGTGCTAAATGCATAATTTCACTAAAAAATATTGCTGACAATTGGGTTTCGCTTTTTTGACTCACCCTGTACTGTACTATAGCTTTCGTCACATCTTTTCAGTCTGAATAATTTCCATCTAACAGCTTTTGTGAATGTAATTTGTGTTTGTTGTCGCTGTGTCCATGTTGCTAATACTTTGTTGAATCATAACGCATGCCATGGTCCTGACCTATCACATCTGTTACATGTTTCTGTAATTTCTCTCCGCCAAAATTCTAATCTTACTTCTGCTTTTCTTTCCCCGTCCTTTTTCATGAATGTCTTTTGTAAGTCAAAGGGGTGAACATGTCAAGAGGAGTTCACGTCAAGTGATATCGATATAACGTTGAGGCTATTAAACCCATTTGTTCATGCGTTAGTATTTGGGTAATTCCATGGTAACTTGTGTTACATTAAACGGGGGTCTTCTGTCAACTCTGTGCTGTTATTCTATAAAGTCAGAGCATTTAGGGTGGTTTTTTTCTCACAGGAGATCCCTAGAAGTTAAGCAACTAAAGTACAAAAAAGAGGCCAACAAATTAAGTTTCTGTTGGCATTTGGCAAGAGGTTTTTTATCGGTAGCTTGAGTCACAAAAAAAGGACACCTCGCAAAAATTGAAATACTCTTGCATTTGGAACTTTCTGCATACTGTGCACTGTTTCAAGAATCTTTTTTAGTATCCTTACATAATTAGGGTGTAAGTCATATGCGGCAATAACAAGGATTAAAACATAATCAATCATGAGATCTCTAGGGGGATATATATTTCAGTAATTCGCGTTACGGCAACTCACGTTGCAGTCTTTGCGCCCATCTTTGGTACAAGTTAAATACAAGTAAGAAACTTATAATCAAAATATAAAAAACCTCTTTTGGCATAATCTATGAATCTTTCTCTCTGCCTTAAAAAAAAAGTCACAATAACACTTGCATTTTGCATGTGAAAACAAGTCGCCAAAAGGACTTCCTAAAATCCATAATTTCAGCTCCTAATCCAATTTTGTCACAAAAAGTACATTTGACCATGTATTCCTTTTCACTGGCTCACCACTCAAATGAAAGTTCCTGTGGTCCGCTTTAATTTGATACCGCATTGGAGGTTGTGACACTTGTAGTTCTGAAGATTTCATAAATGTTCCACTTTTCAGCCATTTCCACTTTGGAGTGGAGTTGCCCATGTTCGATTTTGCTTCGTGGACGTTTTCCATATCATAGTAGTCAATCTGTTCATGTCATCAGACAAACCATAACATTAAAAATTACTCAAGGCATCACTGTTTGTCATAGTTTTGATCATTAGTAGAGACATTAGAATACCATAGAATATTGTGACTTGATGGAAGCATGTTTAATTGTTAACCCAATGCATGGTTGCATATAACTCAAGATTGATGTTTGTCATGCTGCAAGGGTAGTGAATTAATGTATAATTGAGATGTTGCCTGAATTTTTTTCTCAAAAACTTTAGGTTTAATTTATTTTTTACTCACAAAAATCATTTAATATAACATTAAATATGACTAATGCTAGGGGTTTACATCGGACCGGGTACCCGTGAACCAGGCCGCTGATGTCGGGAACCGGTTCCAGATTATGGGATAGGGTAACCGTAACCAACAACAAGAAACTTCTCAGACAATGAAAAAGAAAAGGTTTTAAATGCCATTTGTGGGATATTTTCAAAATGAAAACTAGGCTACATGGAAAACCAAAACAGATGTCATGTTTATGCGCATTTTAACGCGCGACAAAAGTTGCAGTTTACACCGTAAAGCTAGAGAGCCCTTCAGACAACTTCCAGGATTTGAGTTTTGGGGTTGGGTTCTATTTACAGGTACCCGTGTAGGGTAACCGGTTCCTGTACTACCCTTAAATGCACACCACAACAGGAAGAAAATTGTGCATGTGTTACCTATGCCCACATTGAAGATTGAAATGTTTGTCTCAAGTTTTCCATCTTTTTGGCAAACGACTGTTGAAATGTTGTGCCATCAATTGTGTGCCAAATTGTCCTGCATTAAATTGAACACATTGCAGTGCATTAACTTTTACATGTAAATTCATGAAATTTCACAGGGGGAGATGTTTTTCCAGAAGTCAAAAGCTTGCAAAATTATTCACTAATTTGTGGATAATTTTAAAAAACCATTTTTTTTTTAATTTTTAATTTAAAATTTTAATTAAAAAAAAAACATTTGATTTAGTGCTAATTTTCCTTTTTTTCTTTTGGTTTTTTTCTTACAATTTGTTACTTATCAATCAGATCAGTACATTGTATTTTAGGCACAATTTTTGGTTCTCAGGAAAATGTGTTTTATGGACTCAAGATTTAAAGAAACCATTCGAGGGATCTTTCTTACATTTAACATATGGAATCAATTAGCTTGAAAAACCTTTCCCCGCAGCCCGCTTTTCTAACTTCTGTTTTGCATTGTGTTTTTGCTTGTTCTATTAATCCTCTTTTTTTGTTCTGCATCTGTTTGTTGGTGTTTGTTAACTCTAACCCCGCAGTCGGCTCCCGTCATGGTGAGAATTGATGAGGTAGGTTTCTATGACAACTGCATCAAAATAAAGTGTCTCTCTTTCCAATTTTTGATTTGTTGAGAGAAACGTATCCTGAATTCAAAAGAGCAGGAAAATATTGCTTTGATTGAAAGAACTTTACTTGAATTGCCTTGCCTCTTTGAGATTTCTCACTAGTTTTTGATCCGAGGGTCGAACATTTTGTTGATTTTTTTCAAATTTGAGAGTAACTATGGCAGGTGTGTAAGTGCCACCCCGGTAGTGTTTTCTTATTGTGGTCACCGGATTGGTTAAAAGTCTAGTTCATAGGCCAAAGGTAGCAGGTGTAGGCAAGAGTTATTTCTGCCTGTGTAGTATGGAGATGAGTGTGTTATTTATAATTCATAAATACCTGAGACATTTTACCCATTTCTTTTGGTAGAGAGCCCGTCACGTGGGTGGTTTTAAACCGCCGGTAAAACACCGCTGTGTTCTGTGCCACATCGCGCAGTCTGTGCCACCGTGTGTGCCAATCTCCATATAATGGAGATTTTTAGTGCTACGCGCATCAGGCACATACCATAGACATGGGCAGAGGGGTGTTTCACAAAACATGAAGTATAATTGTTGAACAAAATCGTTGGAAATTTGTGATTTTTTTACTTGTTTTGACTTTTTGACCGAAAGGTATTTATGAAAGGTGTTTATGAACGTTTAAAACTGGCAAGGGGCCTGGACGAGGATAATGGCCCTCGCCTTGGGCTTGGGCCATTATCAGCAGCCAGGGCCCTAGTTGGTTTTAAACGTACTTGTTTAATACCTGCCAAACACATATATAAGTTTAGGCCCCTGAGCTCGTGCACTGTCTGAATCTGTCATTTGTAAGCCAGAACTGAACGTAAAAGACACCAAGTCCCTGAGATAATTTGAACCGCAGTTGTGGTTCTCTAGGAACCTGCTGAAGCTATACAATAGCATTGAAGGCTCTGAGTGCTTCATTACTATGGCCTCCGATCATCCTGAAAATCTAGTCTCCAATCGAAGCTTTTAATGAGCTCTTTCCAACTCTCATTAAATTCTGTCTGCAACAAATTAATGATCAACTAGCACTGGAGAGTAAAGACTTTCATGACTATTACCCCTGATCAACCAGCCAATGATTCTTGAAATCTACAGTGTAACTTAACAGAGCAGATATGACTCGGTGCCTTTCATTTCCTGAATCTCGATGTGACAATCAACCAGTTCTGTTTTCATCACATTCCATCTGAAAGCATACATTGTAATTTGTCAGTAAATATCAGTTTTTGTTCACTTTGAATATTCTTCAACCCCCTCCCTCTCCTTCTTTTCCAACTAGATCCCTAAGAAGGATGATGGTGAAGACTTCAACTCCCTTCCCAAGTACCCACTGGAGAAGCTGCAAGCTCAAGAGCTTCCTGACGGTGTGGACTCCAGCAAGAAGGAGGTAAGGAGTTAAGCCCCGCCCCTCGGGAACCTGTCATGGGTGAAGGAGTGGCCCTTTAAAAATTGTAAAAATCAGGGATTTTTCAACTTGACCTTTCTTGGGAAAAGAAAAATTTGTTACGAACAGATGGACCTGTATATTCTCTGGAAAAAACTCAGAAGCCCTTTTTTTTAAAATTCAATTTGCTTTTTCCCTGCTCTTCAACAAATTGATATTTTTTCACATAACAATTTTATAATTTCTGGTTAGAGCCCCTTGAACAAAGACATTGACAAATTGGAGAACCATCAACAAAGGGCTGGATAGCTCAGTTGGTAGAGCACCGGAACGGCAATCCGGAGGTTGCAGGTTCAAACCCTGCGCCAGTCAATTTCGTTGTTCAACTTTAAAAAACTTATTTTAATATTTATGCCATATTCTAATAAAAAAAACTCTACTTTGTTTCTTTTTTGGGTGTCTGTAATCCTATGAAAAAAAATCTGCAATTTTGGGTTTCTTCTGTTGGGCCACCAATCAATTTACAGTAAATATTCCCTAACTAAACATGCTAGATTTTTTTCATTTGATGTCTTATTCAAAAGTGAACACTCTTTGTATTGCCAGATTTAAAGAATTTGATTTTTTTTTCCGGGTCAAACTTCGAAATAGTGAAACAATTTTTATTATTATTGTGGAAACATTTTTTATTATTATTGTAACATTTGTTTGTAATGTTCACTGTGTTTCATATTGTGGTTGTGTCCTTTTTTCCCCTTTTTGTTTAGTATTATTTATCCGCTGCTGACTTTGAGAAAGTCTTTAAGATGAAGTTTGAAGCTTACGTCAAGTTACCAGCATGGAAAAGAACCAACTTGCGAAAGGGAAACAAGCTTTTCTAGACATTTTTTTCGAGCTGTCAAGAAAAAAGGTTAGGTTGTAATTAAAACTTCTCAAAACCGATGTATTATTTCTGACGCTGTAGTTTTAGAGAATATTAAATTCAACCGAATGTTTGGAGAAAAAGCTGCAATTGTTTTTGGTTTCCTCAAGGGAAGACTGCTCATTATAGATAATTTATAAACAAGTCTATTGCATATTGATTTCGTAATTTTAAGATTTGTTAATACAGAGTTTTTGTTTCCTGGAATATTAGTTTGTGTGTTAATAAGAGGTGTCAGAGTATTTTGAATTCTTGAATTGAAAAATTAAACAAATATAGCCTTATTGATAACTACTGTTTCGTAAGGATGAACGTTTGAATGCACGGCTGCAGAAGTTTTTTCAGTTAATTTTTTTTTATTGGTAAAAATACATGCTTTTTGGTACTGAATATTGTCATTTTCTAAAATTTCATGCATGTCTAATCAAATGCACCTTTATTTTCCTGAGATCCGACTCACAATTTTGAAAATGGAAATATTCAAAAAGCAATGGGAATTTGTGCCCATTATATTTTTTTGTCATAGGTTTTTTTGGGGGGTAGTGTGTGGTGGAAATTACAGTAAATATAAGTGCATGACATACAAATTTTAGTTGAACTTAGAAAATCGCTCAGGTTTCAAAATAGGAAATGTTAGATATAGAGGCAGGAAAATAGAAGAGTGACGGTTGTGGTCTAGAATTGAATGGTAAGTTTAACGTTAAGAAAAGAGACTGATTATTTGCATGTTACATTTTTGCGAAGCGTTTGGCTAACTGCAGGCTTAAACTTTGTGTCTTAAGTCTGATGCCTGTACACACGGTGGTCAATATTCAAAGGTCGAGTCAAGAGACCTGACTGACTGGCTGGCATTGTTTTGATAAGGCTGATTTTATTATTGTATGTTTAATGAGTTGTATCACAAGAGGGCGGTGTTTATATTCAGCAGTCTCACGTAAAGGCAAAGAGTTATCTTGTAGGTTGAGCTGACAGATTAGCTGATTTCTCAGCAGATTTTTGGAGTATCTTTGTCCCTTTCTGGGAGTCCAGAAACATTTGAGTGTGCCTGTACTTCAGTTTGTGCTTTCTGAAAAATTCCTTTCCCTGCTAATATTTTTTTTTAAATACGCTCTAAAGCTTGTATCAAGGATGTGACGAAAAATTGGGAAACTTGATTGTTTTCCCAGCTGTCTTTCACAGCGTCACAGCCCTAGTGTCTTTCTCACCGATCCATTCCCTGATGAGTCCGATTCTGTCTGTTGGTCTGTCCATCTAACCATCCGTCAGGAGTCGGATATTTCAACCTTTTCTCCACTCCCTGTACTGTTGTGTGACCCCGTGTATCTCGCGCTGCTTGTTGATTCATGTTCCCTTCCTCTCATTTTCAAAACAGCTCGTTTTGGGACTTGTACCCAAAATCCAAAAGTCCATTTTTATTACTCGTCTGTAGCTGCCGTTTCATCTTTCTACTTTGGATGATTCAAGCAATCCAGTAATTATATAAGTTGGATGATTCAAGCAATCCAGTAATTATATAAGTTGGATGATTCAAGCAATCCAATAATTATATAAGTTGTGCTGAGATACTTTGAACACTAAGCTTTACATTGAAGGCTTAAGGTGGACACGGGACAAGGAAGGTTTGATGAGGGCCTATAGATCCTCCACCACTTGTGACATGTTTAGAAAAAATGCTAACGTTGTCCAAGAAATGTTTTGAACGTCGGAACACTTGGCCCTTCTAAACATTGGCTCACTCTCAGAAATGATTCACACTGAAGATCACCTTAAAGGCACGTTTCTCAAATTCTAAACTGCCTTTACGCATTTGACTGGAAAAGTCTTGTAAAAATTAAGCCTTTTAAAAAAATTCCCATACTAAATGTTCTATTTTGTTGGCTGCATTTGGCCAAAAAAAAAAAACATGCTTGAGAATTTGAGGACTGTATCATGTGTGGTGAGTAATGGAGTGCCTTTTTCTATAATAATGAAACAATCTTGTAAGATTTCATCCGTGCATGGTGGCTGTTTTTAAAGTACACTGTACGCAAAAAATGCATTGCGTTAAAAAAAAGGGACAATCTTGTTAGCCTTGTGTTCTTAGGATTCTTACTTTTGAAATAGTAGTCTAGAATATATGGTTTCTTTAATCAAATATTGTTTCATAGATGAAATATAATATCAGTATAATCTATAGTGGCTTATTTAAAAAGAAAAAAATAGAAGTAGATTTGGAATTGCTAATATAAATATGCCGACAGAGGAACTATTTTTAGCATTTAATGGATACAGTGACTTGATATCACAGATTTTGCAGAAATTGAAGTTTACAAAAAGTGCCAGATTTTTAATGAATAAAAGGACAATTCTATAAGCTGCCTTAGCAGTGCTTTATTTACATGTACCATAGAAAATGATAGTCTTTTAACATTTACGCAGATCTTTATGATTGATTAGATTTTGGCTGTGATTGATTGATTAGATTTTTTGATTGATATTTTTGGCTAGGGAATCATTGTTTTAAATATTCACTTGTAATTGAAATCTACGACACAAAAATTTGATTTTTTGTTTTTTAAGTCTGTACTTAAGCATCTGATGTTGTGAATTCTTATTTTACATCTGTTTTCATCAATTCCTGCCTAAGGTGTCATTTCAAATAACAAAATGACATTTTTCCCCCCGATTTCTGCTATTTTTGTCTAATGGACAAAGAAAGGCTACACATTTGGAAATCACAAAGCATATTTTGTTGAATTTCCTTCCATTCAGTCAATGAAAAACAGGTCAAGAGAATCGTTTCTATTTTGCATCCAATCTATTTTGATTGCTGTTGCATGCCAAAGTCAGGAACGAAACAAGATTTGAATTGCTTTGTGAAAAAAACTATTAAATATCTTTCACATCTTTCACTTTTTCATTTTAGTTTTGTGATTGTTCATGTTGCCATAGTAACCATTTTGTTTTATTTGAAAAGTGTGGATTAGTTTTTGTTTGTATATTTTGTGAGTTGTTTTTTTTAATTTGTAATTATTATTTGAGTTGTAGTTGCACCAAATACCGAGGCAAGGTAACTCTCGATTTGACAAAAAAAACCGATTTGGTCATGCCAACTGTCATTTTTCATGACGAGAGTTAGCATTTTCATTTGTCCCATAATTTTTTTGGAGTCATTATAAACCACACATTTCCACAATTTTATACAATTTCATTTTTCGGATGCGAATTCAGTCATTGTGGATACTGATTATCTATTTCATATTTCAGTTATGCCATTTTCTTAAAAATTGTAATAAAAATATTAAAGTGAACCCCGTTTGCTATTTCCCAGGTTTGCAACGTTGCTGATGTTGCTTGCATCGTGACTTTGGGCGCGATCCCTGGCTACATGGCATATGTAGGGGTTTATGGCTTCCGACTAGTGCCCTTTGAATAAAGATATTGACAAAATGGGGAACCGACAAAATGGGGAACCGCCAACATAGGGCTGGATAGCTCACTTGGTAGAGCACTATAACGATATTCCTGAGGTCCTAGGTTCAGACCCCGCTACAGTCAATTTCTTTATTCAACTTTTGATTAATTTTTATTGCACTCAGATGGAATGAATTGGGTAAACAAGTAACAATTTATTGTGTAGTTTGATAAATTCAGATTGTATTTCTGCAAAATGCAAAACTTTTGCACAACAACTCTTCAATCGTGCCTTGTTCATATCACATTCCTGCCTTTGGTAGTGTTTTTCTTTTTAACCCTAAAAATTTAAATCTGGTTTTAGGATATTTTACATTTTACAGAAATTGTATCCAATGGCATGCATTGTTAACCATGGAGCAAGTTCGGGCGAGGACCATTATTAGTCGACTAATGGTTGATATGTGACGAAACTCACGCCTGCGCACTAATAGCAATGCGCAAACGCCTTCAGTCAAACGATGGTCAGAACGTCATCTCGAAACTTTTGAATCCTGGCTCCCCTGTGCTTCATAGGCGAACCATCCTTCCTTGAAGCTAAGTTTAATAGTCAAACTGTGGTCAGCTATATAGTAAACGCCCGAACTTGCTGTATTTTTTGGCCCAAACTGAATAACACTAACTCTTGATGTTAGAAATGGTAGTTCAAATTGTATTTCCTTAGTGTTTACAACAGACATACAGGGCCTAGGGGAAATTATGGTAGTGCTTTGCATGCGTTTGGTCGAGTAGAAACAGATTGTAATAGTTTTGTGCCTTGAGACAGAAATAAAGTTTGAAATATAAACGATTATAAATGAACGCCAGTGTTTAGTGTTTGACATTTTGTTCCCTTTTGCTGGTCCCAGAGGGTCGGCCTTGAGTTCGCTCTTTACTTACCTCACTTACTGACTGTCACTTTTGCTGGGCAGTGCTATTGTATATGATTACCTCTTAAAACTAATGAATGGGTTCAATTTGGCGTATTGTGAATACACACACGAACATGATAAAAACTTAAGTTAATAGCAATTCTGAATCGACTTTTGGCAGAAATCGTAGATTTGTTTGGCAAAAACAAACTTTCGGATTGATTTTACTCCATATTTTCGACGAAATTTCACTCTCAAAAGGACATCTGTCCTGTATTGGAATGCATTCCAGGTACCCTTAGTAGGCATCTTCCTTGAAAGTTTCACTAAATTTCATTTTTCGGCTATTTGTCCAGAAATGCATTGAAATGCAATCTAGGTACCCTGGGGCATCTTCCCTGCAAGTTTCAAGGAATTTCATTTTTTTAAAATTTTTCGAAAAAAATTGCAAGGGGTTAGCCTTACATTTTTATCAAAATTTGGCCAAAAATTGACTTTTCTCCAAACAACGCAGAAGGTCCTTCAGAGGCAAGAGGAGCATCAATCACTATTCAAACACCCCAAATTTTAAAGATTTGGGCAAAAGCATTGATATTTTTGACGAAAAAGTTAACATTTTCGACCGATTTTGTCCCAAAGCTTAGGCAACATTTTCTGTACAGAAGCACGTCTGTCATTAAATCGAATTGGAAAGTCTTCTATGGTCCATAAGGCATCTTCCATGCAAGTTTTAGGGAAATTCATTTTTCAGCCAAAATTAAAAAAAAAGGCAAGGGGTTTAATAGCCTTACATTTTTATCGAAATTTGGCCAAAAATTGACTTTTCTTTAAACAACACAAACAGTCCTTCAGAGGCAAGAGGAGCATCAATCACTATTCAAACACCCCAATTTTGAAGATTTAGGCAAATTTCATTGATATTTTTTAGGTAAAAAGTTAACATTTCGACCAATTTTATCTCAAAATTGAGGCAATTTTTCTTTTCAGAAGCACGTCTGTCATCAAATCGTATTGAAATGTCTTCTAGGGTCCATAAGGCATCTTCCATGCAAGTTTAAGAGAAATTCATTTTTCAGCCAAAATTGAAAAAATTGCAAGGGGTTAGCCTTACATTTTTATCAAAATTTGGCAAAAAATTAACTTTTCGCCAAACAACGCAAAAAGTCCTTCAGAGGCAAGAAGACCATCAATCACTATTCAAACAATCCCAAATTTTAAAGATTTTGGCAAAATTCAGTGATGTTTTTGAGGGAAAAAAAGTTAACAACTTAACATCATTTTCGACCGATTTTGTCCCGAAATGTAGACACATTTTTCTTTTCAGTAACACGTCTGTTATCAAATCGAATTCGAATGTCTTCTAGGGTGCATAAGGCATCTTCCATGTAAGTTTTAGGGAAATTTATTTTTCGGTGAAAATTGAAAAAAAATGGCAAGGGGTTAGGCCAAAAAAAAAAGTCTCCGGTTTCTGGTATGCGCGGCGTCGCCGTAGCCATGCGCGTCGGCAAAATCAAAAAGTTTTTTTTTTCAATAAAAGATGATGTCTCAAAACCGCCAAACTCACTGGTTTGACTGGAATTCTGCTGCTGCACAATTTTAACGTGTTTTTAGATGGGGTTATGATCGAGAATAAGCTTTATGTGGCCTCTCTGGACTCCCATATATTTGCACTAAGTTTAGTCGGGCACCATTTGCAGTCATCAGCCGAGATTTGAAGCCAAAAAAAAAAAAAAAAAGCTCCATACCAGAAACCGGAGACTTTTTTTTTTTTGGCCTTAGCCTTACATTTTTATCAAAATTTGGCCAAAAATTGACTTTTCTCCAGACAACGCAAAAAGTCCTTCAGAGGCAAGAGGAGCATCAATTACTATTCAAACATACCCAAATTTTAAAGATTTAAGCAAATTTCATTCATATTTTTGAGGTAAAAAGTTAACATTTTCGACCGTTTTGTCCCGAAATGTAGGCAAATTTTTCTTTTCAGGAGCACGTCTGTCATCAAATCGAATTGGAATGTCTTCTAGGGTCCATGAGCCATCTTCCATGTAAGTTTTAGGGAAATTTATTTTTCGGTGAAAATTGAAAAAAAATGGCAAGGGGTTAGGCCAAAAAAAAAAGTCTCCGGTTTCTGGTATGCGCGGCGTCGCCGTAGCCATGCGCGTCGGCAAAATCAAAAAGTTTTTTTTTTCAATAAAAGATGATGTCTCAAAACCGCCAAACTCACTGGTTTGACTGGAATTCTGCTGCTGCACAATTTTAACGTGTTTTTAGATGGGGTTATGATCGAGAATAAGCTTTATGTGGCCTCTCTGGACTCCCATATATTTGCACTAAGTTTAGTCGGGCACCATTTGCAGTCATCAGCCGAGATTTGAAGCCAAAAAAAAAAAAAAACAAGCTCCATACCAGAAACCGGAGACTTTTTTTTTTTTGGCCTTAGCCTTACATTTTTATCAAAATTTGGCCAAAAATTGACTTTTCTCCAGACAACGCAAAAAGTCCTTCAGAGGCAAGAGGAGCATCAATTACTATTCAAACATACCCAAATTTTAAAGATTTAAGCAAATTTCATTCATATTTTTGAGGTAAAAAGTTAACATTTTCGACCGTTTTGTCCCGAAATGTAGGCAAATTTTTCTTTTCAGGAGCACGTCTGTCATCAAATCGAATTGGAATGTCTTCTAGGGTCCATGAGCCATCTTCCATGCAAGTTTTAGGGAAATTCATTTTTCAGCCAAATTGAAAAATTGCAAGGGGTTAGCCTTACATTTTTATCAAAATTTGGCCAAAAATTGACTTTTCTCCAAACAACGCAGAAAGTCCTCCAGGGTCAAGAGGAGCATCAATTACTATTCAAAAACCCCAAATTTTTAAAGGTTTAGGCAAAATTCGGTGATGTTTTTGAGGAAAAAAGTTAAAATTTGCGACCAATTTTGTCCCAAAATTTAGGCAATTTTTTCTTTTCAGAAGCACGTCTGTTATCAAATCGAATTGGGATGTCTTCTAGGGTCCATTAGGCATCTTCCATGCAAGTTTCAGGGAAATTCATTTTTCGGTGAAAATTGAAAAAATGGCAAGGGGTTAGCCTTACATTTTTATCAAAATTTGGCCAAAAATTGACTTTTCTCCAGACAACGCAAAAAGTCCTTCAGAGTCAAGAGGAGCATAAATCACTATTCAAACACCCCAAATTTTAAAAATTGAGGCAAATTTCATTGATATTGATGAGGAAAAAAGTTAACATTTTCGACCAATTTTGTCCCAAAATTTAGGCAAATTTTTCTTTTCAGAAGCACGTCTGTCATCAACTCCAATTGGAATGTCTTCTAGGTTCCATTCGCCATCTTCCATGCAAGTTTTAGGGAAATTCATATTTGGGCAAAATTGAAAAAATTGCAAGGGGTTAGGCTTACATTTTGATCAAAATTTGGCCAAAAAATTGACTTTTCTCCAAACAACGCAAAAAGTCCTTCAGAGTCAAGAGGAGCATCAATCACTATTCAAACACCCCAAATTTTAAAGATTGAGGCAAATTTCATTGATATTTTTGAGGTAAAAAGTTAACATTTTCGACCGTTTTGTCCCAAAATTTAGGCAGATTTTTCTTTTCAGGAGCACGTCTGTCATCAAAACGAATTGGAATGTCTTCTAGGGTCCATTAGGCATCTTCCTCGCAAATTTTAGGGAAATTCATTTTTTGGTGAAAATTGAAAAAAATGGCAAGAGGTTAGCCTTACATTTTTATCAAAATTGGCCAAAAATTGACTTTTCTCCAAACAACGCAAAAAGTCCTTCAGAGTCAAGAGGAGCATCAATCACTATTCAAACACCCCAAATTTTAAAGATTGAGGCAAATTTCATTGATATTTTTGAGGTAAAAAGTTAACATTTTCGACCGTTTTGTCCCAAAATTTAGGCAGATTTTTCTTTTCAGGAGCACGTCTGTCATCAAAACGAATTGGAATGTCTTCTAGGGTCCATTAGGCATCTTCCTTGCAAATTTTAGGGAAATTCATTTTTTGGTGAAAATTGAAAAAAATGGCAAGAGGTTAGCCTTACATTTTTATCAAAATTGGCCAAAAATTGACTTTTCTCCAAACAACGCAAAAAGTCCTTCAGAGTCAAGAGGAGCATCAATCACTATTCAAACACCCCAAATTTTAAAGATTGAGGCAAATTTCATTGATATTTTTGAGGTAAAAAGTTAACATTTTCGACCGTTTTGTCCCGAAATTTAGGCTGATTTTTCTTTTTAGGAGCACGTCTGTCATCAAAACGAATTGGAATGTCTTCTAGGGTCCATTAGGCATCTTCCATGCAAATTTTAGGGAAATTCATTTTTCGGTGAAAATTGAAAAAAATGGCAAGGGGTTAGCCTTACATTTTTATCAAAATTTGGCCAAAAATTGACTTTTCTCCAGACAACGCAAAAAGTCCTTCAGAGTCAAGAGGAGCATCAATCACTATTCAAACACCCCAAATTTTAAAGATTGAGGCAAATTTCATTGATATTTTTGAGGTAAAAAGTTAACATTTTCGACCGTTTTGTCCCAAAATTTAGGCAGATTTTTCTTTTCAGGAGCACGTCTGTCATCAAAACGAATTGGAATGTCTTCTAGGGTCCATTAGGCATCTTCCTCGCAAATTTTAGGGAAATTCATTTTTTGGTGAAAATTGAAAAAAATGGCAAGAGGTTAGCCTTACATTTTTATCAAAATTGGCCAAAAATTGACTTTTCTCCAAACAACGCAAAAAGTCCTTCAGAGTCAAGAGGAGCATCAATCACTATTCAAACACCCCAAATTTTAAAGATTGAGGCAAATTTCATTGATATTTTTGAGGTAAAAAGTTAACATTTTCGACCGTTTTGTCCCAAAATTTAGGCAGATTTTTCTTTTCAGGAGCACGTCTGTCATCAAAACGAATTGGAATGTCTTCTAGGGTCCATTA